GATAGATAGATAGATAGATAGATAGATAGATAGATAGATAGATAGATAGATAGATAGATAGATAGATAGATAGATAGATAGATAGATAGGAGACACCAATTAGATTTCTAAGTTTCTGTGAATTATCTTTATATTTCGAATTTTAATCTTTCTATGAGCATTATATAGGATAGAAAAATCGTTCTGGGAAAGTAGTGTCTGTCTCTCCATAATACGTTTAACTGCCCAAATCACTTGGTGATTATAGGAGAATTCTACTAAAGCTTTTTAGATGAATTTAATTCAGACCGGCTTTACAGAGAATACACATGTTATAGTTCCTTTTAGAATTTCGCTACAAAGAAAATTATTTATTATCAAGTATAATTTAAGAACCTGAATGGTATAAGCATTTTATGATGTACACAGTTTCTCTGTAGAAACATTCTTTAGAAAGTTTAAAACAAATCAATGACACTGGCGAATATTCTGGCGTATTTAGTAGAGCATTGATACATTCGTTCATATAAGTATGTGAAGTTGTTATTTAGTTCAGAAGTTGTCATCATTTCGCACAAATTCTTTAACACCAAACACATAAAACATTTATCTAGTATGGGGTTTACATGCTGAGAAATATGGGTTTATGTGGGGAGATTTAGGAGATATATAACGAAAAATATTTTGCAGATAATGCAGAAAATCAAAGCCAAACTAACAAACACGTAATACAAACATTCATTAAAAAAACCCTGACAAGATAATGATATCAAATGAGAGAACCTGATGTTAACAAACAAGATAACCGGAACTCCTGCCGTAAATATTAAACCTCTGCCAGATTAACTAATAAGAGAAGAGGAATAACCAAAAAGAAATAAGGGCTTAGTGAATCATGACACTGGGGCCAGAGAAATTATTGAGTAAGCACAAAAGGGGTATATTTCCAGGCACTCGAGGAAGACTGCCGAGTGAGGCAGAATAAATAAAGCGTTAATGGAAATAGAAAGCAACACAAAATTCATGTGAATAGAGCCAATAACGACAATACTACTACAGGTAATAATGTAAACAAGGCAAACGGACAGCAACGCAACCCTGGAAGTTCCCTTAAGAGTGAACCAGAGAAAAGGCTGCCCCCTCATTGGAAATCGCTTTTGAAGCAAAATCACAATTAAATTTGAAAGCCAAGAACGAAGTATAAATGACCTCTGCTGGGATATGAGTGACCCTTGGACGGCAGCCGCGAGGGGGGAGGGGAAGGGAAGAAGAAAAGGAGGATAAAGTGGGCATTGAGAGAGAAACAGCAGAAAGGAAGAAGAAAGTACAGCTCAGCAATACATCCTTACTACAGTTAGATATTTTTATTATAAATCCAGTGTTGAATCTGGAAATATGTAGAGAATTTGTTTATGGAAATATTTCTAAACGTAATATCTTCAAATGTCAGGTAGATTAAGAGACGTCAAGGGAGCAATCTGGATTAAATTGGCTATGAATATTGCCCAGTGTAAGATCTGGTGTTATCAGTATGTAACATTCAGGTTATAATATCTAGAGTTAATATGTCGTGATCAACCACTATTGTGGTTGCTTTCCATGCTTCCACCCCATATCGCCTTAAAGCTCTATACTTGTATTCTGGAGGTGCCGGTTTGAATTTCTGTAGGGACACCGCCTATCCCAACTGTGTGTTTTCTAGGTTTTCCACAGTCCCTCCATGCAAATACCGATATAGTACCTCGAATGGGCCGAGACCGCATTCTCCTAAACTTTTCTAAGTCATCAATCATCCTAGCATTTGGCTTTGTAGTCTACCTGATGGTAGTGCTATGGAGACCCTCAGTTTCAGTCCACAGATGTAATTAAGAAAGACTACAACTGGAGAAGACATGGTGAATATCATTCCCCTACCTGACTCTAGTTCCTGAATGCTAATTTGCAACTGCGTAGCTGATATTTCGAAGCTGTTGGACAACTGAAGTGAGGTGAATGCCTTGTGTGAACTTGATGCTGACTTTACAAGGTCAGTAACTTCGAAAGCATAGTAGGATATGTGTGGAGGCGAAGATAATCTCGTTCTTACGAAAACGAAGCCATCTTTAAAGAGATAAATCAGAGAATAATCACGATTTGATATTTTCTGACTAATTTACGAAGGTCTCAACTAGTCTTTAGCATTGTTGATCGCATGTTTGAAAGCTGGGGTTTGAGTCTCTACTCGGAGACCGAATATCCTGATCGAAGATCCTTTTAATTTTAACCACTTCGTCAGACAATGCTTTAGTAATATGCGAGTAAAGTTGTCCCTGAACTTAATTTATAATCAAACAAAGAACACGTATGGAGGAGTGGATGTAAAGCTCCACGTATTCTAACCTTGGCTCTAGATGTAGGTAAGCATTCACTTTCATGCCCTGGCCGTTTTAACCCCCCCACCCCCGGAAATCAGAGACTGGGTGAACGCCAGAGACGGTCTGGACGCTGTGAGGAAGAGAATATTCCCTTTCTGATAAGGGGGACAGAACCCAAATCCCTCGATCCTTGAAGCACGAACAGCCCGGCTGTTCTTCAGTATTTTTTTAAATTTTATATGATACGACTTTTTAAAACGCGCAAATCCTTCTCTTCTACAAAGAGTTAATAATGTTACTCTTGGGCAAAAATACGAGTCTCTTATATTAATGAAGTTTTTTTTAATTCGCTTAGTGGAGGGTTGAGTCCAACTGGGTCCAATCGGCACGGCAGCCACTGATTGGCCTATTGGACCTGCCCCGATTGATTATGATGCTGGAGAATTTCGTGGAATGAAGATTGGCAGGGGAAACCGAACTCCGAGAAAACCCGCCCCAGCTCCACTTTGGCCACCACAAATCCAGCTTGACTAGACCCGGGATCGAACCCGGGCCGCCGCGGTGGGAAGCCAGCGAGTAACCGCTTAAGCTATGGCACGGTCTGTAAAGAAGATCACTACTTAATACGTATAGATCAGGTGAGACAAGTGAACTGGTGTAAAAGTAAAAAGTAAAAGTAAAGCTACACCTGTAACGGGCCGTGGAGACCCATGGGGTTGTGAGATGTTGAGGTTCCCACATTTTATAGACAATCGGCTCACAGATTTCCGTAAGGTTGTCAATTCTACGCGCCGGCCGCCCTTTACCCCCAAGAACATTCCAAGAATATTCCTGATACTCATTTCTGTTAGAGGCTGAGTCGACCTCAGGACCACAGTGCAGTTGGAAAGATTAGGTCAATTGAAAAGAATCCAATAACCTCATCGGGATTCGATCCCGCGACCTTCCGGCTTATAGTGAACTGATGTTGCATGAAAAATTTGGTTTGTTTAATTCTTCCAGCGCAGCGAGTCAAAGATTTTAGGTTGAGTAAAGAGATTCGGAGCCGGTCACGGTAGCCGAGCGGTCTAAGGCATACACTGTTTTCGCTCGCTTGGAAGCCGGGACCGTGGTTTCGAATCCCACTCAGGGCATGGATGTTTGTGTGCGTTTTTCTGTGTTTGTCTATAGGTAGAGGCCTCGCGACGAGCTGATCACTCGCCCAAGGAGTTCTACCGTATGTGTAAGATCTAGAAAAGCCGAAAAGAACGGCGTTCATGGAGGTAGGCCTAGGCCCACTGGGGCTGTAGTGCCAAGAAAGAAAAAAAAGTTTTGGAAACGAGCCTCATGAAAACTGGTTTGGCCGTTAGACCTATTAAGGCAATAAAGCAATAGGATGACTGTGGAGCAGTACAAGCGTGCGGTAATATTTTCTTTTTCCTTGGCACTACAGCCCCAGTGGGCCTAGGCCTACCTCCATGAACTTCTCCGTTCACTTCAGGTTTTCTAGACCTTACACATTCGGTAGGACTCCTTGGGCGGGTGATCAGCTCGTCGCAAGGCCCCTACCTGTACATAAACACAGATAAACGAGCACTCACAAACTAAACATCCATGCCCTGAGTGGGATTCGAACCCACGATCCCGGTTTCCAAGCGAGCGAAGGCAGTATATGCCTTAGACCGCTCTGGTACCGTGACCGGCTTATCTTTAACATCAAAATTATACTTGGCGAACAGCACAACTTGTGAAGCTCCTAATTAAGTAGTTTTCTCCAACTCCTGTCACTTCATCCCTCTTCGTTCAAACACTCTCCCCAACACCTTGACGAACGTCAGTGCAGTGACCGTTCGGTTTGCTCTAAATGTTGAAGATATGAAAAATAACCTACTACAGAAAGATTCTTATGTTCGGTCGGACTATTTCAGATGTTTATGTTTCAGTTTCTTCTGGTGGTCGTTTTTCGACAGCATTTGGATTTATGGGCAAATTACGTTTTGTCTGTACAGCTCTGGTCCACCAGCCATGGGAGAGACGACGAATCGACGAATACAGATGGCGAGAATGAAAAATTATTATGTACGATAACTGCGAAAATTAGAGCGAATGGGGTCTGTCACGTGCACAGCAACAGCATTTTCGTCTCATGCCGTGATATCTTACTGAGAAGCAATGCATTGTTAACTACTAATGACATGATGTTTTATGTAAGATCTTATGAGTTGCGTGACTGTGTATTCATAAAGGCAAATATAAGGTAGACCGCACACCGGCATGTGTCAAGACATGTAATTAATTTTTTTAATTCGCTTAGTGGGGGGTGGAGTCCAAAAGGGTCCACTCCGCACGGCGGCCACTGGTTGGCCTATTGTAGCCGGGCCCGGGTGATTATGATAATGGAAAGAAGATTGGCAGGGGAAACCGAAGTACTCGGAGAAAACCCGCCCCAACACCACTTTGTCCACCACAAATCCCAGTTAACTAGATCCGGGATCGAACCAGGGCCGCCGCTGTGGGAAGCCAGCGACTAACTGCTTGAGCTATTCCGCGGACGTCAAGACATGTAACAGTCAAGAAACGATGTCTGCGACATGACGCGAAGAATGGAGAAGACATTTTATGCACAAAACCTTTAAAATCTTGTAATATTATTCGAAAGCCAGCTTTCGAATTTCATTTATGATCAGTTATGATTATAAAGCATAAGCTAATTAATAATATGTACGTTGTAACTCCTCTCTAATAAGTATTATAAACCGAAATTTTTTCATGCAGAAATTTATTAGGTCGTATTTATGGAAGACCAGTTACAACTGTGTTTTCATAAATGAAATAATATTGAGGACTGAAATAAAGATTACAGATTTTTCATATTTAAAATTAACGTACTGTGCGCCCAAAAGGTTAATTAAAATGCGTATAGAAACTGACCTATCTATTGTAGTTATTCGTCAGTAAAGCAAGTGTCACGTAACTTCGAACAAGGCCAAGAGTAACCTTGAAGGCGCAGAAGAAAAATTCAGACAAGGGGGTGGGTTCGAGGGTGTGAGAAATGACAGGCGACCAGTTGTACAAGGTTACTCTTGGCCTTGTTCGAAGTTACGTGACACTTGCTTTAAGTAATATTACTTCCTGCAACAATAGCCAAAATTCAAACCTTGATATGGCTGTTTGCAATTTCTTCCTCTACTGGAACGTCAAGAATTATTCGATCTGATTCAGAAATATAAACTGTTCGGTGATTTACTTCCGTGTTTCCTGTAGCATTCATAGTGTTATGTTAGGGACAGGGATAATATAACCTGAACTTACATCTTGTACATACGAGTAAAATCAAGATTCCAAAGCCTTAATTACCTTCACCGCCGGTCACGGTAGCCGAGCGGTCTAAGTCATGCACTGTCTTCGCTCGCTCGGAAGCCGAGATCGTGGGTTCGAACCCCACTCAGGGCATGGATGTTTGTGTGCGTTTTTCTGTATTTGTCTACAGGTAGAGGCCTTGCGACGAGCTGATCACTCGCCCAAGGAGTCCTACCGAATGTGTAAGATCTAGTAAACCGAAGTGAAACGGAGAGTTTCATGGAGGTAGGCCTAGGCCCAAATTGGGGCTGTAGGGCCACAGAGAAAAAAAACGGCAGCTGAAGGGTGTATGGCATGAACTATTTTCGCTCGCTCGGAAACTGGGATCGTGGGTTCGAATCTCACACAAGGTATGGATATTAGATATGTGTATGTGCTTATTGTGTGTTATGTTGTCCTGTGTTCAGGTAACGGCCTTGCGACGAGCTGATCACTCATACAGGGAGTCCTACCGTCTGTGAAAAGTAATCAAAATGAAAAAAAAATCTCGATGCAGTAAAGGTATAAGAGAAATGGCTTAAGTACGTAAGTTTATTTTTGGAAAGACAGTCCTTCTGTACACAGACTACAATTAGTTACTCATGTGAAACCGAAATTTAAGTAGTAATGATCACAACTCTTAACTTAAGGCAGTCAAATCCGGAGCCGAAAATATCAAATGCGACGCAGCGATTTATTCTTGTAGTGAGTGTTACAACTGGTAAATAATTTCACCAAAATGTTTCGAAATACAAAACGTAATCAGATAAATAAATATTCACATATATTAATGTGGGTTAAATTTCAGTATGTGTTATTCATGCTTGCAAAATTTTTTGTTTTGTGATTTCCCGAACAGTCTGAATTTGTGAGGATATGTAAGAAATATAATTAAAATATATAGTACTCCCTTCTGAGATGTAACGCCGTGTAGGACGCTAGAAGTGTTTCGGAGGAATGTACTGCCTCTACATTCAGGATCTGAGAAAAAGCCATCCAAGGAATCAGCTGGTTTCGTGCTTTGTTTACACTTCAATCTGAAGATTGAGGCACTACGTTCTTCCGAAACGTTAGTATACCTCTACCAAAATACACAGCGTTTTATTCCAGAAGGAAGCTATCTTCATGACCACCACTTTTAAAATCTCAAATCCAAAATAATTAATAAGAATTTAGCTTCCAAAAGCCTCATCCCAATCCTTTCGGACACACAGTTTAACAAAATGTCTTCTTATTCTTCAACTTTTCTTCTTCTTTCTTCTTTCTTCTCCCACGGATGTAGCTAAATCGTTTTCTGACTTTATGGTGATATTTTCAGTGATCTTATCAGGATTGTCTATGTTTCGGAATTTAGTGAGAGTAATGATTATGTAAATAAGACTACTAAATTTTGTAAAATTTGTTAACCTTATCCGAAATAATGTTGCAACATATTTCCATAACAGTCTGTTCATTCTCTTTTCAGAAGAGAGATATTAAAATTTGCATTCGCATGAAAATACAGTCCAAAACACCAGTAACTGCTGATGGTAACAAAATTCTTCTTTTGACGAGCGTCTCTCTTTCTTATACTACGGCTGTCAGAAGGTTAACTTCTTCGTCGATAAATTACAATACCCTTCATCATAAATATTATTTGTCAAGGAAACTTAAAAGAAAACTATTTTTATAAGAAATGAAGAATGGACGTAGAAATTAAAAGCTGAAACTAGTACGCAGAAATTCAGGGCAATAGTGCACCACAATTGGCAACTACAAGACAGTGCTTGGAGCACGGGCCATTGAGTATAACAAACCTACGTGTATGTACCAGGAATGCATTAGGTGCTTATAGATGTTGCACTGTGAATTTCAGCTTTATATGATGTAATGTGCGCCTCGATCAATTAAAAAATAGCTATTTAGGAAAGAAGCAGCAACTGATAAATATTTAGGCCTCGCCATAGCTCAAGCGGTTAGTCGCTGGCTTCCCACCGCGGCGGCCCGGGTTCGATCCCGGGTCTGGTCAAGTGGGATTTGTGGTGGACAAAGTGGCGCTGGGGCAGGTTTTCTCCGAGTACTTCGGTTTCCCTTGCCAATCTTCATTCCACCAATTGCTCCACAATCACCCTCACCTATCATCTGGGGCTGGTACAAGAGGCCAGAAGTGGCCGCAGTACAAGGGACTTAGTCCCACCCCACTAGCAATAAAAAAATAAAAAGAAACTGATAAATATGAGAAATTAAGTAACTGATAACGATTCTGTTACGAAGAGCAACTCTAAATTGGCGTTCGTTGTTTTCAGAATTAGCAGACTTTGTTCTCTTAAGCGTTATTAATCGACTGTCTTCAAACAGAGGTATGGTGTGGTTTCTTGAAGGCAGAAACCGAATGTATGTTACCTTCCTATTCATGATTTAAAGTATTTAGTATCGATCATATTACGTAAAATATTAATAAATTTGTCGATTAATCGTGACAGCCCAGATTAATATAAATAAGTGACCAAAATATATATTGTTGCACTTGACGGAAAATCTATTGACAATTGACAGATTAATATCCTTTACCAAGTGACGTAATATTCATGATTGTCAAGATGATGCAACAATATCATCGTTTCACTCCCAGTCAGCCGTTCACTTGAGCGTATGCCAGGCCGAGACAACTCTCCGAGGGTTTTGTATAACTGAAAGCCAGTGGTCTCGTTGTCGCTCGCCCAAAACGTGACTGCCGAGGGCCACCTTGCCCAGACATTTGTCTTTGCATTTTCTGCCCATCTGCCCATCACTGTCCTCACTCACATTTCGACTGCACAGTAACACAAGAAAGACTGTTGTTTCCAGCTGGTTCGGGTTCAGGTCAAATGTCAAAGTCTCGTTGAATTCGGGACACTCGGTTCCGTGTTTGAAAGCTGTTTTCTTCCGTTTAATAGATCGCCCAGTGGACCCGTTCAGTTGGACGACACGTACATATGGATCTGGAAAACATCACCACATATCAATTTGTAGGTTGTTTCTTGATTTCACTAGTAACTACAGAGTTCGCCTAGCACTGAGTGGTAGGAAATCACTGTGGCAAGGACGTACGTACGTTGAGGAAGAGCGGTTTGTTTCTTAGGCCTTTCAGCTGTACAGACCGCATCGTTGGAGGTAGCGTATTTGTGTATGAACTAGAAAGGACGGCTTGATTCTAACGTTATTCAATCAGGGCACGTATCACACACCGTCGAACAACAAAATAATTCTTTACCATGAATTGGGAAGCTTCATTATTGTTTCATTTAACAATTATTTTTCAACATGTCGTCTTCTGGGATGTGGCGCCATGTACATCTTGTGTGAACCGACGTTTCTGAAAAACGTATCGCCTCCATCTTCATGGCAGAAAAATCCGCGAGCGACGAACCAGCGCGAACAGGTGGCTGCACTCAAAAACTCAAGAGCACGGAATTACTGCTACACCACTCCGCCTTGTATGATAATATTGACGACTGCGAAAATTAAAGTGGATTACGAGCCCCTCCAGTATTTGAAATAATTTGGCTACTTCGTATTACCCACATTGATTGTCTTAATGCTTAGTTATTTAGTGTTTCATTGCCTACCACATCATCTATACAGTGAAGAACTCTGAAGAATGTTTAAGGATGAATTTGGAAGATGGAGGAAATAAGATCTATTAGATTATTTCAAATTTATTGACTAAGCATTTGCATGAGCGAAACTCATATATTCCACTATATGACAGATTTATATCTATTACATTGTAAAAATGCCAATATCACTATCGGAAGCTTAATCATAAATTTAAGAATTTAGAAATAAAAGCTCTTAGGTATTATGGCAGTAGAATTTAAAATAAAGCAAAATGAAAATACGGGGAGCATAACAAGAATTCCAGTTCCATGTAACAAGACTTGTTGCACGCGTTGACATTTCTCTTTTGTACCTGTCTCGCGAATATACACGTACTTCCAGTTTCTTGTTTATCAAATCATGACCATTTAGTGTTTCTTAGAAATGGGAGAGTGGCTTCTTTGTGCGTCCTACCTTGCTCCTGCGTGAGTACTGAGTAAGCCTTAAGCAGTTCACTACCTCATGCAAACACGCCAAGATTTACTCGGAATTTGGGGTAGAGCATCACGAGAAGTATTCACATTTAATTTCAAAATATAGCGGCACAATTTTTTTTAGAAGCACAGGGCTACAATACAATTTAAATGTGTGGCAGGCGCAAAACGATGTTTCGTGTCTTCCAACACTTCTAAGACAATTATCGTGTCATCATCCCATCCTCTCACTGTTTAATGTTGCGTGGAACTACTGATTATTACAGATCGTTATACCGGTGTTAAATAAACACTAAGGAGACCGAATATTGTGACAGTGATTACTGCACCTACACCTGTTCCCTGTTCGAGAGTCTCCTGTTTCGAATCTCTAACCGGAGGCCAATTATTATGAAATTCTTCTTTTCAATCCATCCCCCCGTCACAACTGAGGCAGACCTATCTTAATGCATGTCACAGTCGGTTTCTTCGGCATGTTTCTCGATTCATCACTTCGAAATATTATACCATTTCACGCTAAGAAACATATGCAGTTGAGAAAGTGGATTCTAAAAATATATATGAAACAAAAGACACATTATGGAGATAACTGTCTCTTCATGTGTGATACCATTTAGTCGGGTAGATGTTTATAAGTATTTCGGAGAACCTGCTAAATACATCTTCGGTTTTATTTAGAAGAAAGAGGCAATACACTCCTTCGAAGCGCCGGTAAGTATGTTTCAGATTAGGCCTGCGCCATAGCTCAAGCGGTTAGTTGCTGCCTTCCCTCCGTGGCGGCCAGGGTTCGATCCCGGGTCTGGTCAAGTGGGATTCGTGGTGGACAAAGTGGCGCTGGGGCGGGTTTTCTCCGAGTACTTCGGTTTCCCATTTAAATCTTCATTCCACCAATTGCTCCACAATCATGATCACCCGGGACAGGCTACAATAGGCCAATCAGTGGCCGCAGTGCCAAGTGGACCCAGTTGGACTCCACCCCACACTAAGCGAATTAAAAAAAAATGTTCCACACTGTATGAAATTTCACTGCAACAGACAACAATCCTCACAATCATCGTTGTGGAAAAATCAAATCAACACCTGAAATTATAATAACCTAAATTCTGGTAGATGCATTTCTTTCACGTAAGGGGCAAGGATAGCCGTCAGCCTGTTAGTGACAATAAAGTGTGAAGATAAGGGTACAATAGGAGAGGCGTCACTAGATGCATATTAATTGTTGTACCCACCACAGACACTTCTGTGTAGAGCATGTACAGTGGTGTTTACCAATGGTCCGTGAACTAAAGCCAGAGAAGTGTAACATCCTAAATGAAAATATTTATAAAATGTAACTAAATGTAGATCCTGGAAGAACGATACTACACTTTCTTTTTGTATTATGAAGCATGAACAATTCACAATAACTTAAACGACTATCTATTACAATATGAATATCATTTGTCCTACAGCCAGTATTGCGTTGTGAGATTGAGTTTGTCCTCAAGTGAAATAAAAATTACTCAGCTCTATACAAAACATGTCTACGAATGAAATTATATCAAATCTGTTTATTCTGGGTCAGGACAAGCCTTGACTGAAGACTGGTAGGGCCTACATTCAACCCAGCCGCGGTGAGATAGAGTACTGAAGGCCAATGGAATGGTGGCTGGTAAGAGAAGACATAATTACTAGGAGAAATGTTCACACCGAAGCCATCCTCTCTTCTTCAACAAAACATCCGGCGACTGGCACTGAACTCGGAGCTCCGTGGTAAGAAACCCTCTCTAGTCGCACAGTACGTACTGATATAGGGGCTTCAATAAATAGATAAGTTTTTCCTAATTTCCTTCGTTAAAAATTAGGCGTATGCCAGCAGGAGTCGGGATAGCTCACTCTGTATAGCGACTGGCTACAGGTTGAACGGCCCGGGTTCGGTTCACGATACTGCAAGATTGTTCTCTTCTCCAAAGCGTCCAGACCGGTTCTTGGGTCCACTCAACCTCCTCTCCAATCGGTACCAGGGGCCCTTTCCCCGGGGGTAAGGCGACTTGGACGTGAGGCTGGCCACTTACCTACATCTAGTACCGAGATCTATCCCACCACTCCCCCATAAGTTTCCACGGCGTGGTGCACCTTATACGATTACTATGCTGTCTCTTTGTCTGTGTGCGCGCACGTATCAAATTTTGAATTCCTGAACCAGTCCTTATGAAATCTCGCATATATATCATGGCATGTGAGACCATTTCAACAACGTACATCATAAATCCCTCTCATCAGTCTGTGTGTCTGTATGTATAATATATCCCTTTATCATTGTCAGGCAAGGACTCGGTAAGGAAGTTGCCTTACCGCGACAAAGAGAACACACTCAAAAATAGAATTGTTGGACGCGAGCCTTTTTTTATGAGGTCCGTGTCGGATCAGAAGTAGGAGAATATTTCATTCCAGAGCATATAGATTTGTATTCATGGAGGCAGAAGGTTCGTTACTATAACGACAATATTTAACCTTGGAACCATCGAGAGCAAGATGAATGGAATCCACACCTTTACCTCCTATATTTCTATTATGCGTTTCAGTATAATCTTCCCAATTACACCTTGGTGTTTCGTCCCTTGATTTTCTTCTACCCAAATTTCGTATGCATTTCTTGTTTAGGAATGTATTCTACATGACCTGCTCCTCCAGTCAACCTTGTTTCCATATCCTGTCAAGTAAATTTTTTTGTACAAGAACGCCCTTATCTATACTCGTATTTAATGACACTAACTGAAATTTGCTATGGAGTCAACTATTTGCAGATACTTAAGGTTGCCGGCTTTAATAACGCTGATGGAGAGTCTCTGCGCAGTAGGGAGGTAGCTGACCCCGAAAAGTAGGTCACCCGTCTCCTGAAAAGACAGAAACCGAAATCTGAATTGTAGTTTTATTCTTCACAGGTTGTAACCTCAAGAAACATGAAATTCTTTGAGAAGTAACGAACAGATTGATCGTAAAGGTATTTTAAATTCAGTACTGTGGGCCACATGTACATTTAAATTTCATTCCTTCATTTAATATAAGTCCAAAATTGTAATAATCCTCATTAAACTGAATATTTTATCTACTGCATAAATAGTCTTCTCATCACCTTCTCCTGTTTCGTCTTCTTTCTCTGTATATATGGCAATATAATGCTTAAAAGAAATAAATGGATTAAATAAGATACATGTATCTTGTATATACAAGATATACAAGATACATGTATATTTTATCTACTGCATAAATAGTCTTCTCATCACCTTCTCCTGTTTCGTCTTCTTTCTCTGTATATATGGCAATATAATGCTTAAAAGAAATAAATGGATTAAACAAGATACATGTACTCGTATATGTTGATGACGTTGATTTTTGGAGGCTGTAATATCAATGTCATCCACTATGTACCCTTCTTTCAACGGATTATGCCTCCTAGCCTCTTCCCATTCAGAATTAAGCGGAAACTTTTAATCTTACAGATAGTTCGTAGACACCTTTGGAAGGGGGACCAGCTCGTGGCAAGGCCGTTAACAACATGAAACCACACAAACAAACAAACAAAAATAACAACCGCAGACACACATCCGTGCCTGTATTAGGATTAGAATTCATGACCTCAGTGTTCAAGAGGGCTAAGCAATTTCGTGCCTTAGAAAACACAGCCACTGGGATCGGCAGATATCATAATATAATAACCCATAACTTCCATAAAACAATCTGACGTGAAGCATCCGTAAAACTAAACACATGAGAATGGTATATCATATTTTATTGTTTCATTATCTATGAACATCAGTAAAAATTGTATTCGATATAAAATTGAGAAGAACAAGTTATGACATGGCAGTTTTTCTTTCGGTTAAAGAGAAAATTATATAGTGTTTGTTCTCAGAAGGAGAAGGAAAAAAAATATAAATATACAAATTCCTTTGGGTGGTAACAAAAATTGCTTTATTACTTTCAGGTTCTTACGTCATATTTGGAAGTTGGTGAAACGTAGCCTCGTAATTTGATAAAAAATGTAAATAATTATTTAATTATTCGAGTATATATGGACAAATACCGTCTTAAGTGCAACAAATGTTATTGTAGTGTTTACTTCTTTTTCCTCCTCCACACTACATGTTTCGGCCCTAAATGGCCATCATCAGGTGTGTATCACTCACGTAGCTGTTACACTGCTTGTTAAAATTTAAAATTACCAGTCTTTCTAATTGTATAAAATCTTTGTTAATCTACACGCGTCGATTTGATTTTTAAATTAGCACTTTTTAAAACTTAATTCAAGTTAAAATGTCTATAAGATCTCTGTTCTTTCTTTTTCAAATTTTTAGTTAAAAATTTTTTTTTCAGGGTACATGCCCTATATCTACGGTGCTGCAGCGGCCACTTCTTGTTTTTATCGTTGTTCATGTGTTATTCAGTGTAGGCGCTCTCTGTGTGTGTCGCTGCTTATCTTTAATACTTTTGCAAACGTATTAAAGATAAGCAGCGACACACACAGAGAGCGCCTACACTGAACAACACATGAACAACGATAAAAACAAGAAGTGGCCGCTGCAGCACCGTAGATATAGGGCATGTACCCTGAAAAAATTTTAACTAAAAATTTGAAAAAGAAAGAACAGAGATCTTATAGACATTTTAACTTGAATTAAGTTTTAAAAAGTGCTAATTTAAAAATCAAATCGACGCGTGTAGATTAACAAAGATTTTATACAATTAGAAAGACTGGTAATTTTAAATTTTAACAAGCAGTGTAACAGCTACGTGAGTGATACACACCTGATGATGGCCATTTAGGGCCGAAACATGTAGTGTGGAGGAGGAAAAAGAAGTAAAAACTACAATAAAATTTGTTGCACTTAAGACGGCATTTGTCCATATACGATATATTGTGTGAGTGTAACAGGATGCTGAAATATAATATTGTAATTATTCGAGAATAATGTAGTTAGGAAAACATTTAGTCCAAACATATTTTAAGAAGGGCTGCAGTTTTGGGTATTACGTAAAGAGGAATTTGATTATTTACACTTCACCTATTACATTGGAAGGCATTGAAATCAGCTATGATATGATGGGTTGAATATGTAACTCGGATGGGTGAGACAACAAATGCATTCAAAATTCTGGCAGAAACACCTCGCATAAAGCCCTCCACTTTTACTACCAGGAGGCTGACAACATTAATACATGCACTAAGAGCACTATACACTTTGCTAAAAACTGTAATACAGGTATCAAGATGAAAATTTCAATGTGTGAAGGGATGTGTTGAGCGTTCAGTGGTTGCGATGCATGTAACAGCATCTGCTCATGGACGGAATATCATGGTGCCTCAAACTGACATCGAAACTTACAAAATCCGACAGTGTTTACGGAATTCGTAATGGTAAAACATTCAAGTAAAGATCTGCGGGAATGTTCTTATAAGGATCTTGCTATAAAGTGTAGAAGTTGGTGGGAATTTTTTCATGTATGTACGACCATCCAGCACTTGAAGTTTTTAAAAGGTAAGAAATTCAAAAGTAAGTGTGGAGCATTTCGAGCGTACCTAATGTTAGTTTACACTCTCCTACGTGTTAAATTCAGTACATTTTGCAACAGTTCGCTTTTCATGCAAGGTAATTCCGAGAATTACATGCCTCGTTGTTTTCAGGTTCTTTTACTAAATTCAAAATTTTAGAACGATTTTCTCAACTGAACTGTTTCGCCATTTTCTTTTCCTCTTCTTCTTGCTTTCAGACACACTGTCAAAGTGATTTCGTGAGCTATCGAGATGAGTTTAGACAGATTTGTTAGCTTAATTCCAGAGATTTTTGCTAGACAGTTATAGAGTTGTAATGTCATGGTCACTGATACTTTCATTGATTGCGTCTCGCTTTGTATCAGTGAGTGTTGGCTCTACTGAAAGACATATACAAGTCCCATGAAACGTATTGCGATGCATGGTGTTGCCATTTGTATATCAACGTGTACATGGGGTCCTTTTTAAAAGAGGATTTCGAGTGTACGAGATGGGTATATCTGGTTCAGAATCGTGTTCAGTACCTAGCTTTCGTACTACTGGTACTGAAACTTTGGGTTATACTATTCATTCGTTCATTATTAGAGGGGGTGGGTTTCCCCATGCACCGCGACCAGTTGTTGATCTATTGTGAGTCCCCTTTAATATCTACTGTCGCCATACCCTTCCGGTACTGGTGCTCGCTATCAGCCCCATTCTGCCAGCGAGGTCGGCCCTCTTCTGGCAGTGGTATCTGATAATTAGTACCATTCTGCCAGCGAGGGCGGCCCTCTTCTGGTAGCGGTACCCGATACTTTCCCCATCTACCGGAGGCATTGGAAACTACTTGGGCGGGAAAATTTTTGGCCTAATTTTGCTCAGAGGTCTCCTAGAGACATGAGGATCTTTTACGGCCGTAAATCTACGACACGGGACCCACGGCTTAAAGTCCCTCCCGGAGGACTTGTTCCCTGAATTTTTCCACCGTTAAAAATTCCACGACCTCCGAAGTGTTTGAACCCGCGTACCTTGACTCATGAGGTGGGAACGTTACCCCTAGATTACGGAGGCCGCTTGGGTTATAACATAAATTAGTTAGATAACAGATCAGTTAGAGGGTTACTTAGTCAGATAACAAATTATTGCGTTATGTAGTCAATCATTTAGTTCGACAGATAGTCAGCTAATCAGTCATTTAGGTTGTTAGTGAGATGGTTCCTTAGTCAGTTTGTCAGTCGCTTTTATATTCAGTTAATTACTCAGCTATTCAGTCAGTCAGTCAGCCAATGACTGAAACAGTTAGTTCCACGTACATGTTAGATTGTATTGTGTTATGGGAAGCTGACTTGTCACGTTGAACATAGCTTCCATCTGCAAGGCGAAATGAATTAACAAAGGTTTACTTCAAACATGTATTTATATTTTTGTCATACTTGGTAGCACATACATACTGTACAACTCACCCTGTTCGTTCTAGTCAGATTGCAGCTAATGATAACAGCCTCTTTTGCGGTGGTGAGGTTCTTTACATCCTTGAGGGCCAGGTTGACTTCGCACAATTCCGTGGCGTTAGTGTACTTGTCCTGGTCATATGCTGTCACCTTCAGGCACCACTCCTGTTGACATAATAGCCCCTCGCATGAGTGTTCGTGTGGAAACTGTAGTTAAGTAATTATACCAATGTCCTTCCCTGCAGAATATAGGCTTCACTTAAATAAACAAATTTCAAAGATAGTTTGCGTCTGCGACTTTCTTCTATACCTCCAAGCGAGTGTCGAGGCTGTATTTCGAAATATAAGAATATGCATTGATAATTTCCTCCACCACGAGTTTTCATACGTCATTCAGAATCATTAAGCAATATTTCATTGACGCTTTTTAATATCAGAATTTGGTATGATACATTAAATTAATTAAATTACACTCTCAGAGTGTAAGCTCTCAATGAGGGATTATTCGTGGAATGGATGGCCAGGGATCTATTCCCGGTAAGACTTCAGAAGTCCTTTCTGTCTTTGTACGAGTATATATTTACCTATCTATCAATCTTTCTACCTGTCTGTATACCTGTCTCTCTCACTGTCTCTCTCTACTTATCCAAATACCTATCTATCCAGATTCACAAAAATTTCTGTAAAATTATATGATGTTAACTTTCTTTCAAGTATTTCATTCTCTAGGTGAGGTGATTGTATAATTTAGTAACACATTTTTCTGTATAATTTCCAAAGGTACTGTCTACGATCGCTAAATTTCTCAAATATGATCTGAGAGATTTTTGTTATCTCCATGTTTGTAATATTTGATACGTAAGCAATGTTTTATATGTTGGTGTTTTTCATTATTTATCTTCACACAGAATTTTACCTGCATATTTGAAACGGTACATTGACTAATGCCAGCAACTGAAAGATAATTATAGATTTATTTCCATCCTATAAAACAATGCCTTAATATGAACGGCACCTTTTTAGATATGTTATCACATGAAACTTCAGGATCCTATATTATGTGGCGGCAGTGTGCCTTCCACCTCACACACTTCAACTGTAAAGAACAGGGGAGAAGCTAACTCTGTTTACACGCTGTTCAAACAAAAATTCATGGACCTCCATCTCTTCTAAGAAATTATTAGGAAGGACAGTCGCATTGTCATTAGTACACCATAACAAAGCGTAATGGATCTGATCGAAACGTTGCCAGGCAACAGCTCTCTAAACACGAATATAGGCAACAATAATAGAAGTGTGCTTTCTATGCGGTCCGCGCCGATCACAAATATGGAAATATAGGAAATCTTTTGCCAGGCAGCGCAGTTGTAAACATGCATTCACATTAATGGGAGACGGTGTTTCCCGTGGTGTCTGTGCGAAGGAGTTATCCTAAAAGAGAACGGCGTTGAGAGTTCAGTTCTGAGTTCTCAGTAGAAGATAGCCACGGAAAGAAGTTCGTCGACCTGTGAATCCTTAAAGAGTATTTAGAAGACTTTATGGAGCGTGTGATTCAGTGAGACTGTTGTAGTTCCTGCGTGTTAGTTGTGGTACCAGAAGAGGACCAGTGTGTGTGTGTGTGTGTAAATCAGATATAGCGCTATATTAAATGTGATTAAGAGACCTTGTAACCAAGGTGCTAACGAATCTAATCATCAAAACTAAAATGCGTCGTTTTCGTCATGCGTACCACCCTACAAGTGACAATACTTTTACATATAAAATAATGTATTTAGGTTAAGGTTGTGAGAAAATTTAGATAGACCTATTAGTCTCCATCTCCACACATATCTCTGCTGCTTATATTGTGTCTGTTCTGTCCTGTATCACCTGGCGCTAGCCTCATCCTACCGACTATGAAGCTTGCCTTTAACTAAGTACATAAATATGTTACATCACCTCGACTCGTGGTGTCCAACATGTTTTTCTTCAAAAGAGCTGTGAGACTTGATTGTCTCCTGTTCTTTGCTAGACTCCATCATATTTCATCAATGATGCAATAACATGTTAATATATACGCGCTGGCAGATTTGACACCAACCAACCATCATTTATTTTCTGCATTTTTTGCGACTACTGTGACTATTCTTGGTGTTTTCCTTTTGCTAATAATATCAAAATTAACTGTGCCATTAAGTACCCTGAAGAATGCGATCTGCTGCAGTCTGATATTAATTAAATTATAGCCTTTTCCAGAAGAAGTAACATACTGGTATACGAGTATAAACTTTGTCAGTCCTCCGTAACTCGCATCGATTCTATAAGAAACCTGAGGTTATTTATGGATTATAAACTTCATTTCCACAATCACGTCAACTATAAATTTTCTCAACGTATCATGTTGTTGGGTCTCGTTCTCAGAGCACCTTTCGCTTCATCATCCCTCGAATATCTATAACTATTATATTTTACTCTAGTTAAATCGAAGCTTGTGTATGTCTCTTCTGTTTGAAATTCGATTAAGTCTGCAGACAACTACAAACTAGAACGCGTCAAGATGAAGTGTGCGGCCCTTTGTTTCTATAACGTCTTTCACCACGTCCATAAAATTTGTGCTTATTCTTTAACACAGTTAAAATTACACGCTTCACGTAAGATGAGGTATCATCTCGAATTACTCTTCAAATTTATTTTGTTTCTAGATGCTGTCGTTTTCTTCTGGAAACTTTTGGTTTCTGATTCCGTGCTCGGTATATCAGAGACTTCTTTCTGCATGAAAATATATCCCTTCTGCTACATAAGCTTTGGCTGTTAATATTAAGTGTAGTTTCCTTGTTTGTCATATACAGTAAAACTTGGTTATAGCAACATCGGTTTCTGCGACACCTTGTCTATTGCGTCAAATATTCAATGGTACGAACTAATTCCTCATAAAGCAACTGTTTTTATACCTTGCTTAGTACGACATGCACAAATGCATCAACCTCGTATGTAACGTCATTTTCATTCCTGAATTTCTCTGATATCGTGGGAAAGTTCGATGTGTCTGCCCACCCTCACTTTCTCTACTTGCTGACGTGACTGTCCTGGAAGAATACGACCGCGGGCTGCAAGAGGAGCGTGGGTTTTATGCAAAAACAAGGGTGTGGGGTGGGACTGCGTGAATAGTGCAAGAGGACGCGGCAGGTTGTTAACTGCATTCCTTTCCTAGAATCTCGTCTAACAGGACCTCACATTGTCTACTTACCCTATAGTGTTCCTGCCTAAACCCAAAGAAGTGCTGTAGCGAAAACATGGCAATGAAAAGGAAAGTTTTAAGCATTGAAGAGAAAGTTAAAGTGATTCGTGAAATATTGTGTGTATTGTCAGTGAAAAGCGCTGTAATATGTCTTTGATATTACACATTTGGGCAATTCCACGTTAATGTTACGTTAGTCTGTACTTAACTACGTATTTCACTAAAAAATGCAACATTTTAACTCGGTTTTTGGTAGATTTTTACGTGACTAACATAAGGCTACTGTGGAAGTGCCCATTTCGGTTACAACGACATTCGTTTATAACGACACTATTTTTGGGTCCCTTAGATGACGTTATAACCAGGTTCTACTGTATTTGTATGTAGTTAGGAAAAGATATCTTTCAGTAACACAAGTAATGGCCAGTGATACAGAACCTTGAGGAATTCTTACCAAAGCTACTGTAATGAGCTTTAATTAAATGGTAGCTTAGCGTGGAAGATAACGGCAGACATAATGCCAATTGGAGTGGAGATGTCTGGGGTAGATTTCTATAGTAGATCTTAACCCCGGGTCAGAACTAGTCTGAATGGCATTTGTCATTAAGAGTGCTGATAACAATATCTTGCGACGACTACGTCTAAAATTCTTACCAGGGAGGCGACAGAGTACAGTGCTATTTTATATTCCTTTCCCGTAACATCTATAATGCTATAAGAACAAGGGCAGTCACTACACCTTCAATTCTGATCGCTTCACATCTAGCACAAAAGTCTGGTCGAAAAATGGGTTGAAGGAATGACGAAGTGTTCTGGTGCGAAGTTGATGCAATGGTGGCCCAGCTCGGCGATGCAAGGGCCACGTAGTCCGTGCTACTTGCAACACAAGGTAGGGTTCTAGGCCTCCAGCATACTCCCGTGGTGGCAAGCATTTAACATCCTGTAACACACGGTCAATCTTTGTATGGCAAGAAGTGTAGTCCGTATGTTATCATTATCATATATCCTAAAGCTGTTACAAGAGTATTTAAAAATTAAACATTGTCCGAATACCTTACTTTTACACGCGTGTCACACATCTAACACGTCTTCTTTTTCCTTATTTTAGAACTCATCACAATGTATATATATTGTATATTGTATTGTATATATTACTGGCGTTAGTGGTATTAATTTTGATTTACACGTACTTTGACAGTTTATGCAGGATCAACTGACACAATATGACGACCATGAATGGCGTGTAGAGACGTTATGACGAAAAGAGTCCACATTGTACCACACATCCAGCCCACCTCCGATATCACTTGCTTCGTTTGATCACCCCAACAATAGTACATAAAGAGTACAAATTATGAGGCTCCTAATTCTGTAATTATTTCAAGTTCTTTATTACTTCAACCCCCCCAGTGTCCGAATGCGTCCACAGCGCTTTGTTCTCAATCACTCAAAGACAAAGTCACATTGCGACTGAAGATCAATCAGTAAGTCTTGGTGTCGAGCCCCGTCTGAGGCTCATGGCCAGATATTTATTACACTTTGACAGTTACGATCTTATATTGTATGGCATTCTGTCTAACGAGAAGATGAATCTGTCTTTTGTATATGCTGCTAGTCCTCGTCAGCGCAGTCTTGTTTCGGGCCCGAGTCCCTTGGAGCTCGCGACCATATTTTACTGTCTTAGATTTGAGACTTTCCTTTTCGTCGCCTCTCTCAATCACTCTCATTCCCTTCTTCTCTTATATCCTCTCGGAACGGACCACACACAGAAAACACAGCCCCTTTATTATTGCATGGCGAAGACAGGACAGAAAACACCTTTCCTCTATTGGTACGTGACATAACCGCACATGAATTAACGTGTTTACTGAACCGTTGCCTGCCAATGTGTCTCAATATTCTTGGACACAGAATTACTAGGTTTTTGGACTTTCTCCCTCTTCCGGAATTCTAGATAATAGAGGACACAACGTTTCAGAAACTGGATCTCTTTCCGTCTTCAGGTGAGAAAGGATGACACATACTCAGCTGGACCCCTTCGAAAGAACTAATCTCAATCACTGAAGACGGAAACAGATCAAGTTCCCGAAACGTCGTGTTTTCTATTACCTAGAGTGTCCTCTATTACCTAGAATTCCGGATGATGGAAAAAGTCCAAAGCCCAGTAATTCTTTGTCATCCATCACTGTCAGAACCCTTTAGAATCTAATATTCTTGGAGCCTGTGCAATGTTGCAGCACTATATACGTGTGTGTGTGTGTGTGTGTGTGTATATATATATAGTAACTCTTCGTTGTACGTAAGACGTGAAAGTACTTCACGATGGCCCCCTATGACCTAAATATATTGTAATATATATCAAACACAGACTACGATATTTTTAACTAGCAGTCTATGAAGTTTTGTATTTACATGACTGCAACGAGTTACTAAAAACAGTATTAAATTTGTAGTCCTGCTTATAGCGAAACTGCGTTTGCAAGACTGCGTTCGTGTTTACTATAATAGGTTTGTGTCTACAGACAATTGAGGATCTGATCCTCTTTTGGAGACTACTACTTTTAGCTTTATTGTTTGCATCATCTTGTGTATTACTATATAACAATTATTACACAACCGCCAACACAACAAATTCATAATAAATAAACCAATATTATTTATTAATATTCGTTTATTATGTACATCAGCAAGTGTTTCTATCCACTTTGATCATCGTCAGGTAATTTTCATGAATTGTACTAATCGTTACTGAATTGTATTTATAATTTGGATCCATATTAGTAATCATTACTACAAAATTCGTTGCAATTCATTAACAATTTAGTATAGTTCATGAAAAATGTCCAGCTGGATCGAATCATGCAGGAAATGTGCATAATAAAACAATGTCAATACGTAATATTGGTTTATTGATTAAGAACCTGTTGTGTTGAAGGTCGTTTGATAATACTACGTTGCTGTTAGATCATACCTTAATGTAAATTATGAGCCTCCCTGTGCCATTTTCTTCGTTAGCGACGTATGTCAAGCTCATGGTTAGTACAGGTGGACCACTGTTGGCGCTGCAGTCGGTGCCACAGCTGTCCTCTGTCGTCACGCTCTGAAATTACATACGACATGTAAAACTAGGATTATAAAAAAATAAAAAAAGTAAAGCTATCCTTGTACCAGGTCGTAAGGGCCCATAGGTTATGAGACGTTGAATGTCCCACATTATCTAGACAATCGGCTCAAAGATGGCGGTAAGGTTGTCAGCCTTATGCGTCGGCCGCGTTTTATTCCCGAGGAAAATTATTTAATTAATTCCTGGTACTCATTTCTGATAGAGGCTGCGTGAACCCTAGGGCCGTAGTGCGGCTGGAAGGATTAGGTCAACTGAAAAAAGTCCAATGACCTCATCGGAACTTGAACCCGCGACCTTCCGTCTTGTAGCATAGCCCCCCAACCATTACACTACCGCGTGCCCCCAAACTAGGAGTATGCGTTAATTAATGATGCTATTTCGACAGCAGTACTTGCTGTTGGTGCCAAATTATATGTACATTGAAACTGGATGAAGAAGCAGTTAAGCCTATTTCAAGGAACTATCCTGCAAATTCGGTCGGACTGAGGAAAGCATGAGAACGTTACTTAGGGCTGCTGGTACTCCGGACGAAATTCAAAACATGTATAAATCGAATAGGCCTACAATTTGGGGATGATAGCTCTGTGCTAACCTTTTCTGTTATTTCATATCAGATAATTCGGTTCATCGTTAGCATTTATGCGATCTCAGTTGCATAATTTTATTCTCAGCAACATTAGAAGATATTTATCCTGAAAAGTGTTACCCCAGACCTCATTTCAAATCGTTATCTCGGCAGATATATTAGGCCGGAACTGGAGTCACTTCGCCAAAGTACAAGTAGTGTAAGTCATGAGTAATGAATCTTATTTCGGCATGTCAATCTATTGTCTGTCATAAAATGCACAACCTTTTTAAGTGATTAATTGATGTCTTTTGTTGTATTTTAATGGTGGAGGATGTTTAACATGATAAAGTTCATCATGGGTCACGGTTAAGTAGAACCAAATTTTGCGTCAGTTGGCGAATCACTCAGAACTTTACCAATACATTTAGCCATAGCACAAGTTAATAATCGTAATCATAAGTAACTTATCCTGATTACAATACAAATGTCCCACACATGCAAAATGATGACTTTGACAATTCAGGTGGAATGGGTGGTAACGCGTAACTGAGAATAACATATAATTATAAATGTACAGAGCGCGAATTAAGAACAAGACTAATGGGAAAAGGAAGGAGGATTCTGAACCTGAAAGAGGAATTAAACTTCATAAAGGCAAGAGAAACTTATTCAAAGAAACAACAAAAAACACACAATTGAGGCCGTTCGTATATGTAACAAATGAGAAATACTACAAAACACACGGAAATCTGTATATTTCCATGATTTATTTAAACCGTCTTGCAGTGCATACACTCATTTATCTCCTTTTCTCCCTCGCAGTAGATGTTTCGGCATAATAATGCCATCTTCAGGTGCTTACTTATCCACGCCAAACTAGTTCATTGCATGCCTTGTTCTCATATTGANAGGAAAGCTGTATATTTCATATATTCTTGGCTTGTAAGATTTCAGGTTTTCTCGGCGGTGATTGTGAAGAATGCCGTCTTCTGGGTTGTGGCGCCATGTAGATATTATGAAAGCGAAGTATGTATTGCCTTCATCTTCAGGGTAGTAGAAAAAAAGAAAAATCCTCGAGCGAGGAAGCAGCGTGAGCAAGTGGCTGCAGACTAAATGACCAGTCGAGAAACTGCTCACACTGGTTCCTCGCTCGAGAATTTTTCTTTTTCTATCAGTCACACTAGACGGAATTAATTAACCTTTTATAATACGTATTGTTAGTATGGCGGACTAGGATGAAACAAATCGAACTTATCAACGCTTTCGATACATCAGACTAGCTCAACTTCAAAAGAAAACACAATTAGTGAACGGCAAATTGGAAAGAGTATGGAGGGAAGCGGTCGTGATCTATTTTGAGCTTCTCTCTTGGCATTTCCCTTGAGAAACTGATGTAAACAACGAAGCCTGAGTTGGAATAGCCGACGTCGGTACCGAGATTTGAAATCAGAGCCTTCAGATCACAAAGCAGGAATGCCAACTATTTAACCGAGACGTTTTGTAGAAAGCTGTACAAGAATATGGAAGATGTAACAGGAACAAAAGATAACTTGAGAATGTGATATTCAGGTCATAATGAGACGAATAAAAGAATAATGTGAAATGTCATGAGGGTCTGAACCAAAAACGGGAAGAAGTGGGGATTTCTTGCAACAGCACCACATCATCACGTAGGGGGGACCTTTTGTTCAGAGTACCTCCGTTTATACCTGCCAATGGTAATTTCTCCGATGCTCATTCAACACAGTTCCTGAAGTTTATTATTATTATTATTACTACAGACCCATTACCCTTCTTAACAACTTCTCTAAGCTCCTCGAATTCATTATTCACGATCATATTTCGCATTACATTAAACTTCATCCCAACCAGCATGGCTTCACCAAATCCAAATCCACAGCCACTAATCTGGTATCCTTCCTAGATATTATGACCCCTGTTGTCTGCAGTCAGCGTCAGGCTGATGCTGTCTATTTTGATTTTTCTAGTGCCTTTGACCTCGTGCCCCATACTTTGCTCGTGCATAAGCTCAGCTCTNTAGTCCATTAAAGCTTCTTGGTTTCTTCAGATCCAAATTCATGATTGTTACTTGAAAAGTAACGAATCTGTAAAGTTGACAGCGTATCACAAATAAGCGTCATTTAGGAGCATAAAACCTTATTGCTGAAGTTCTTTATGCATAACGTAAGCTTGGTTATTCATCCCCATCGAATCTGCAATAGTCGTACGAGATATGTTTTGCTTTACTATGAACAAATAAAATTGTGTGTACGTCTTTGTATAAAGTAATATCCCGCGTTTTGCAGATTGATTAAAAGGTCAAAATCTATCAAAATTCTTTCGACCATGGAGGAGCTGTGAGTACTGAGATTTTCACAGTGCGTATTATGAGGAGTACATCCATCCCGGTTATGGTAATGTGGCCTGGTAGAAGCTGCCTACTTGGGTTCTGCTTCCGCAATGAAGATGGGACAATACGTTCCTCCAAATATCGGCACACTGCTATCAGACTACATGGCGTCACATTTCAGAAGATAGTAAAGGTAAAGTTGTCCTTGTGCTTAATTAGTTAAGCACAAGTTAAGTTAATTGTTAAGTTGATGTATAGAATCAATTTTTCTTGAACTCTGCACTAGTTGGAGGTGAGTGAACAGTTTCACGCCCCTGCCGCTTTACCCCCGCGGAAACAGCCCCTGGTATTCATTAGATAGGAGTCTGGGTGGACCCCAGAACCGGTCTGGACGACATGAAGAAGAGAAAATTCTTGACACTACCAGGACTGGAACTCCGACCCCTCGGTCATCCAGCCCGGAGCCAGTCGCTATACCGACTGCGCTATCCCGGTCCGATAATTCCTGATTAATATACACAGACTTGTGACTTTCCAGAAGACAATACTCTTCAAAAAGAGGTGTCTCCCCCAGTTAGATTATAGAGCAGGAGGAGATTATACAATATGTTTAAGCATTTTCTGTCAAACGTGTCTCAGAGTTTATACATATCACCATCTTCAAATAAACTTCAACTTCTAGATAGTATTTTTTATGTTATTTGGGATCTACCAGGATGATCAGTAAAACTGTGGGTTACGCATTAAACCGCCGATTTCGATTCGCTGCAGAGGCGTCATTTCCGAGTATTTTTCTGTTCGCCACTGAGTCAGTGTATGTGCCAGTGACTGCTTCTCTGATGGCTGTCGGAGACGTAACTGACCAACAGACTGAAACTGCACACTTCCCAGGAGCCTTCGTCTTCTGACGAGGTATACACAGCGTGCATTTTACCTCCTTATGCATTCAATAATGGTTTGACATTTACGCACTATCCAACTCAGCATCAGTTGCAATATATTCAGAGCTCTTATGAGGTTCATCTTCATAGATTGACGCTGTTGCTACCGAATATAACGATATAATAATATCTTCTATGGAGAAGATGCCTCTACCAACATTAAATTAAGTTTGCTTTGTAAGTATTAAATTCACAGAATTACTGGGTTTTTGGACTCTTTCCATCGTCCGGTATTCTAGAAAATATAAGCACGGCGTTTCTGAAACTGAATCTGTTTCTGTCCTCAGGTGAAGGGGAAGACACATACTCAACTGGGCCCATTGGAAAGAACCAATCTCAGTCACAGGAGTAGGTGCCTCCCCCCCCCCAATCTGATGACGAAAATAGATAAAGTTTCCGAAACACCATGTTTTCCACTTTCTAGAATACCGGACGATGAAAAAAATCCAAAATCCCACTAATTCTTTGTGTTATACATCATCGTCAGAACCTTTAGAATCTTAAGTTTTTAATTGTTTAGTATGTTGACAGTTGTGAATATTTAGAAACGGAGACATTTTATTATCCACTAACATAATAACTTATGCAAATCTTGAAAGAGTCGGTTACTTACCTTTACGGACAGGATGGAGCGGTTGTCCGTGGCCTCTGACATGGAGCTGTATGTAGAGTCCCGATGGTGGGCCATGCGGCCAACAATCGGCCCGGCGGAGTTTACTGAAACGTACAGAAATCACTGAGAGCGTTAATAAAGACGATACTTGCGATAAATGAACAGAAAGATTGGTCCTAATTGCATAATTTCACTGGAGTATATATATTCTCCAAACAAATAGCATTCTTTACCATNGTGTGTGTGTGTGAGTTTTTCTGTGTCTGTCTACAGGTAGAGGCCTTGCGACGAGCTGATCACCCGCCCAAGGAGTCCTACCGAATGTGTAAGATCTAGAAAAACCGAAGTGAATGGAGAAGTTCATGGAGGTAGGCCTAGGCCCACTGGGGCTGTAGTGCCAAGGGGGGAAAAAAATATATATTCTCCAAATAATTAACATTCTTTACCATTTCGAATACATCATTGACTTTCTTGTTCATTTATTGCAGATAAAAACATTTTTTTCCTGACATAAATTCTTTGTTAGAAACACGATCGTACTATACATAGCACTTTACACTAAGTCACAAAATAGGTATTTCTCTTCGTACTTGTTAAATACTCATCACATCAAAAAATGTATAAATCAGCACATTTTACATCAGATACTAATTTTTGTACATTTTTTTCCCTTTGGCTCTCCAGCCCCAATTTGGGACTTGGTCAACCTCAATGAAACTTTCCGTTTCACTTCGGTTTACTAGATCTTAGAAATGCGGTAGGACTCCTTGGGCGGGTGATCAGCTGATTGCAAGGCCTCTACCAATATACACAGGAAAACGCACGCGCACACACACACACACACTAAACAATTATGCCCTGAGTGGGATTCGAACCCACGATCCCGGCTTCCGAGCGAGCAAAGACAGTGCATGCCTTAGACCGCTCGGCTACCGTTACCGGCCTTAATTGAGTTAGAAGAAATAAATTAAATTAAATTTGACATTCAGAGGGCTTACGTTGAACCGATAAAAATCACAATGGAATGAACCCAACAAGGTTTATTTCAGAAGCCGAATACCAAATTTCATAGAAATTAGTTCAGTGGTTTCTGAAATGAAGCTTGCGGGCAAATGTTCTCGATCTTCCGGACAAAGTTTCACTTCGAGCACTTTGTGCAAGGGATGCAAAGTAAACCTAATATAATAGCAAAATCAGAAAGTACAATAATATTCCTCGCGGACATTGCAATTGTATTTCTAAATGCAGTTAGATCTCATAACCAAACTGCGCTAAGAATCGGGAAAATATTGACTTCACTGCGTTCATAGAGAAGATACTTCAAGTCATATCAATAAGTACGCGCAGTATAGTCGCCGGTTTGGTTGTCTAAGTGCAACTCATCCTTACAAGTAAGTCTGACATATCGTCATATATTTTACAAATCTAAGGAAACGAACATAACAAGGAGACAAAGAACAATTATTGTTGGACTGAAAGAATCTTATATATAACGCTTATATAATAATGATTAAACGCTTGGTTGCAATACACATAGCTACTACAAGCGTAAGTAGCTTAGTATCGAACAAATCCTTTTTTAATTCGCTTAGTGTGGGGTGGAGTCCAACTGGGACCACTCGGCACGGCAGCCACTGATTGGCCTATTGTAGCCTGCCCCGGGTGATTATGATGATGGAGAATTTAATGGAATGAAGATTGGCAGGGTAAACCGAAGTACTCGGAGAAAACTCACCCCAGCGCCACTTATTCCACCACAAATCCCACTTCACCAGACCCGAGATCGAAACCGGGCAGCCGCGGTGGGAAGGCAGCGACTAACCGCTTGAGCTATGGCGCAGCCATTAGAAACGAACTAACTCCATGGTATAAGAAATTCCTGCAGCAGCCGAGTGGAACTCAGTTATTCAGCAAAGTTGCCGTTGTTATGGAACAAGAAAAGTCGTCACCACCACCATACCAAAGGAAGACATAAGATCCTATTTTACGCCGAAATTCACTCAGCATCAAACCACCCAAAAATTATTTGTAGAACTATTCTTTCACTAGCAATCCAGCTCCTTAAGTGATCCTTCTCAGAAGGTTACTGGTACAGATGGTTTTAAATATTTCTTGCTATCGCCGCCCGTGTTTATATCAATCTCCTTAATTTACCGGGGGCACGCGGTAGCGCAGTTGGTTGAGGTACTATGCTATAAGCCGGAAGGTCACAGGTTCGAGTCCAGATGAGGTAGATATTTTTCATTGACCTAATTCTTCCAGCCACACTATGGCCCTGGGGTCGAACCAGCCTCTAACAGAAATGAGTACCAGGAATCTTCTTGGGGAGTAAAGGGCGACCGGCGCGTGAGGCTGACAACTTTACCGCCATCTGTGAGCCGACACTCCAGAAAATGTGGGACCCTCAACGTCCCACGAGCCAATAGGCTTCCATAGCCTGTTACAGGGGTAGCTTTGCATTTTACCTTAATTTACCGACACCAATAATAATTGAAGGCTCAGAAAACAGCCCAATGTCGGAATTCCGTGAACATGGGGGTAAAATTTGTGTTTCTCAAGAGACAATTTCCCGATCGATCTAATTATTATGAAAGAAATCCTTGTGTCATGGAATGCGCTCGATAAATATTCAGTTTGTTAGTTAATAATTATTAATTTATTTAAGAAGTTAACTAATTAATCAGACAGTCGTTTTCTTACTAAAAACTCAGAAATTTAGTTGATCTTTCAATTAGTTATGAGTCAGTAATTTAGTTATTTAACCAGTCGGCCATTTTATTAACAATTTAGGCTGTCCATTTATTAAACAATCATTTAATTTCTTGGTTCATAGACAGTTAACGTAGCTGTCACTTTTTTAGTTAGTCGCTTTTCCCTAAATGGATAGTGAAATAAATTCTCAATTTATTTTCATCTCAAGTACATCAGATCCTGCGTTCAATGTTCCTAGCGCTGCTTCCATCTCACAAGTTAGATCGTCCGCCATGCTGGTACTGCTGAATACAAAGAGAGAGAAACTAACCATATGAAGAATCTGTTCAAAGTAGGCGACCTCTATCTATATCATTTATATATGTAACTGAATGTTGATGCCCTTCAGTTCCCATAAACGAATTCATTTGTGTTTCCGTGTATTCTCAATTTTCTGGTAACGTGGATACAGTTCCAAACGCACCTGTGTCATAGCTAGCGGAAGAGGGTAGAGGAGTCCGTTTCCATGGATATCCGTAATCGGAGAGCTTCAAAGTGTCTCCTGCGACATAGTTCTCTTGTCCTTTTGCTTGTCTTCTCCGCCGACGTTCTTCCTCCACTGGAAATTTGAAAAGAGACATTTGAGAGAAAAGGAATAAGGAGCAGTCTGTGCTCGTGTTAATTCTGAAACCCTCAGTATCAAGTTTACATCACATAAGGTGAGAGTAATGATGTTCCTGTGCCCAAGCACTACGTTTTGGGAGAGACCAACATCTTTAACTCAGCACTAGATGGAGAACACCGCTGGGTGGACCAGACAAGTTGTCTGGATCTAATCACTCACGCATGGAGCTGGGTCCTTTTTGAGAAATCGCCAATTGTACAGCTACTCAAGAACTTCCCAGCACTTTATGGAACCCGAAGGTTCATCACCGTGTTCACAAGAGCCCTCCACTGATCCCTATCCTGAGCAAAATCAATCCAATCCATACCATCCCATCCTATCTCTCTAAGATCCATTTTAACATTGTCCACTCACCTACGCCTTGGTTTCTGATTGGTATCTTTCTTTCTGGCTTTCCCACCAGTATACTATATGCATTCCTCTTCTCCCCATTCATGGTACATGCCCTGCCCAGTGGCAGAAGAATAAGAAGAAGAGGAAGACGTTAAATACGCTAGGCTCCTCCATGAATTGTCTGTAGGCCTAACGGTCTTAACTTCTTTGTTTTCGCGTTGTTCAGTGGGTTATTCCGGAGTTATGGCCAACTACAGAGAGGTTAATTTGCGAGCTTAATGGACTAGTGTTATGTCAAATTTTGATTTACTGTATTACTCATAAATCTGTAATATATCTGCAACTGTCCCAGGTACAAGTTCCAATGCATTACGTTTGGTTTTCAGTCTCCAATCTGGCCACCTTGATATTGTGTTGATAGGAATCTATGAGCAAGAGATGTTCTCTGTTCAACGTTTACTTTTACAAACAATTAACTTAGTGGTGTAGGTTCTGTCTTAAACAATTTAAAATTACTCATCTTGTCAGGAAATTCCTTGTGTTTATGAAATCCGAAGGTTCATCATTGTCTTTATAAAGAGAGCAGCTGACACTGTCCTCAACCACGTCAGTCTAATTTACATTTCCGCACCCTGTTTATATACCGCCTTCACCTGAGTCTCTCAAGACGTCTCTCCCCTTGATTTTAACCAAATAAAATTCTCTAAGCAGTTCTTATTTCCTCATATCGCGCCCATTCCATGATATAATTTTCTGTAAAGCTAGATAGTTTATCCCTTCTCCTATTCGAAATATTTCTGTTGATTTCGCGATGAAACTCACAATCTACACCTCTATAACTACAATTTTGTTTTCATAGCAGAATATGTAAATGTGATGACACAATCTTCTTTCGTAAGAAGAGCAGAGCCGAGACTGAGAATGTTCTAGAACAAAGTGGCGAAGTGAATATCTGGACCTAAGTAAATAGCATCACAGAAATGTAGAACATTACATAATGTTTAGGTTCATCGACCGCCTGTGTGGTCTAGTGGTCAGAGTTCCTGGCTACATATCCAGAGGTCCGGGTTCGATTCCCGGCTCTACCAGATATCTTCTGAGAAGTAGTGGGTCTGGAAAAGTGTCCACTCAGCCTCGTGAGGACAATTGAGGAGCTATTTCAAGGAAACAGGGGCTCCGGTCTAGAAAACCGAAATTAACGGCCGTGGGGATTCGTTGCGCTGACCACGAGGCACCCTCTATCCGCTAAAGTTGGCACTAACTTCGACGACAAGCGGCGGTCTCTCGGTCGGTATAGTTCGCTAGCGGACTAAAACCATGGAGTCTGTTTGTTAAAGTTAATCCCATTATACTGGAAGTGTGGTTGTATCGTAAACAGTGAGACTGGCGGAGAATTCATCAATGAATAAGACAACAGTAAGATATTTAAGGTTATGAGTGTAGAAATCGAAGAGCATTGATCACGTCAGAGATTTTTGTATTAGAAGTCGGTAGGCGGTAAGTGTTTTGATCCGTGGAGGCAAGAAAATATATACTGTACCTATATATGCTTATTCAGTTTGTTAAATGAGAGATAAATCGAAATGTAAACAATCAGAATAATAAAAAGTGACGGGTAAATCACACATGCTGTGAACCAAAACCTGGAGGCAGGGTTCTATCACGCTTCCCTTGCTTTCTCTGCCTATCGAAAACATAAAGTAAAAAGTTTTATGAAAGAAACTAACATAGCGTAAAATTATACACTATGAACGGGAAACCGTACAGTTAATATCACACACCAATCCTTCACTTAAGAGCTTTTATTATATCCGTCTTTATTATGTGAGTAGGTCCCGAATGATTTCCCTAAAGTTCAATATTTATTTACACAGATCCGTAATAAAAACTTTCCTTTGTACACTGCACACCAGTTAATTCATGATTTCGTTCCACAAATTTCATAAAATGTGAACATAAAGTGAAATCGTTAATAACTGTCCTTTCCTATGTATACGTGTACATATATTCTACTTACCCATATGTATGTCCCGACGCTATATAGTCTCGCTACTGACAACAAACAAACTCCGTGGCCTGTAGTCTTCAAGCGAACTTTGCCGAGTGAGCCACCGCCGCTTGTCGGCGATGTTAATGCCAACTTTAGCGGATAGAGGGTGTCGCGTGGTCAGCGTAACGGATCCCCACGGCTGTTAAGTTCGGTTTTCTAGACCGGAGCCGCTATTTATTTTAAATAGCTCCTCGATTATCCTCACGAGGCTGAGTGGACCCCGTTCCAGACCCACTACTTCTCAGAAAATCTGGTAGCGCCGGGAATCGGAAAAAAGACCTCTGGATCTGTAGCCAGGAACTCTGACCACTAGACCACAGAGGCGATCATCTCGCTATTGACAGCGTCGTTAAATAACCATCTTCACTTCACTACACACATATGTCAATACATACACATGCATGTGCCTGTTCATAAAAATATTTATACACACCTTCGCATACATACGTGTATATTTCCAAGCATACAGTCCTACATACATACATACACTCATATACGTGTACATGCGTATACGCATTGCTATGTAGACCTACATTCATACAAACCAAGCGTCACTTTTCTATTCATCATTCACAGTCGAAGTTGTGTGACCTATGCAGTTGAACAGCATCGTTAGATAACCAAGGCAACAAGTGCCATGTGTATGTGAGGGACCGGATTTTTATGCCCTAATAATCCCTTAAATATGTATGCATTTAAGCTGAAAAACTTCCGAAATATGCACTACAATATGAACATAAAAATTTATACCAAATATTAAAATTGATTCTACATTATTTTAAGACAAACAAATCAATATTTAAGTTATTTTATGTAATCACTGAATGATTCACTTGCAATAAAAAGCTATACTTAAATACAAATCATGCAAGAAAGCCAACATATTTTATTACAAATTTAAAAAAAACAATGGTACTCACACTTAACTCTCCGAACTTTCAACCTCTCTTCTGTTGCAGTTCACAGTTACTAAATGTTTTAGGCTTTCCATAGTTAGTCACCTCCTATTCTTGTAAGATGTCCTTATAGCGGGAAAAACTTCTTTCCACCTCACAGGAACTTAGGGGCGCATGTACAAAAGCCGCTATTTGCTCCATTGTTAGTGATTTTTTACTTGGCAGTTCAGTAAGTTTACCGGCTAAACTTTCTCCAATTTCACAAATTTGTTCATATCCCTTTTTTTAAGAATGCTGTGTTACTACTTCACCAGCTCTTCCAGGAACCGAATTCAATTTGGAAGCAGTGGTTTTGAACACATAACGACTGATGCAAAATAGTATTGCTATTGCTTGCCTCCAGTGAGAAAATGGCGGATGAAAGATGAGGGAAGTGAGCAGACATAATGTATAGGAAAGATTAGTTTATAGTTCTGCGTTTTTTAGTACATCTTGGGCAATTTGAATTGATGCTGCACTTTTGGGATCAAATGTATTCACGACATTCCTAACTGTTTCCAAACGTTCGGTATATTAACTCGCTGCACACAGCCACGTGCCCCAGCGCGTTAAAATTGGTTCCAGCGGAAGTGGAACGCTCGGTGCTACTACTTTAAAGGCTTCTTTTCTGTATGGCGCTTTAACAAATACCTTCTTCAGAGAAGACACCAACTTGTCAACAAACGGAAAATTTGCACGAATTGTTTCTGCAACACGATGCAACCCATGGCCAAGGCAAGTAAAATGTGTTATATCTGGAAATATAACTTTAAGAGCAGTACCGGCTTTCATCATATAACTTGCGGCATCAGTCACAAGGAGCAATACGCGCTCATACTGAATGCCATTCGGTCATAGTAAATTCATGGAATTGATACAAAATTTGGAAACTGCGGAGCTATTTGTGGTTTCAAATTGCTCTACCGCAAGAAGATATGGGGTAGATTGTTCATTCTTATTGAGGGATCCAACTATAAAATTTGCAATAAACCGTCCCTCACAATCTTCTGTTTCGTCGATTGTTACCCACACAAAAATACCTTAAATCTTATCTCTAATGCTTTCAATTGTAAAATCGTAACGCTGCTTCACGTAATTTTTGCGCACAGTAGATTCATCCGGCACTTTGCACTGTGTATACTTCTCTATGAAGTTTCTCAGAGTAGGATTGGTTAGTTTCCACAGCGGAATATCTGCCGCTAAAAAGGCTTCCTATAAATCAAAGGAAAACTGTAAAAAAATATTATTAGAAAATTCACTAAGCAATTTTTGAACAGGAGCACTTTTCGTGGATTTAATTTCAATATTATCTTTGTGTACATTAGTGTTTAAGTGCTGAAGCACTTGAAATCGTTTTTCACAACCGTTTCCTCACACCCTCGGCAATAAAGAATTTCGTTACCCGTACTTATCATCTCTCCTTCGAACTCCCGCTGATACAGCTGTAATTTAGTTTCCTGACTTACTTCCACTTTCGGCATGACTACAGAAAGCTAAACAATCTTAACTACAGACTAGTCACCACTAATGTGAATGGCCCCCAGCTTCAAATGAAGAAGCGTAACGAACCTCATGGAGACTTCGGAAATAAATAAGTGAAGTCCCTTATCTGTTGAATAGTATTACGTTGATAGCGGCTACACGAGAACGCTTCCGACTAACCTCTTCGCGGCCACTTTGATGGTACGCGGATGAGGCAAGTTACGAGTAGAGGGATCGGGGAAGTCCCGTCCTGGGGATTGCATCAGAAACATGAATCATGACGAAATGTTCAGTCAAATATGCAACATATTCTAATACGGAAAAGAAAAATTATATAAAACGACCATGATTGAAAATATGAACATAAAATTAAAAAAATGCATATGGTAAATATTTTAAAAAGGAAATGTGCAGTATAAATAGATATCTTCGAAAATATGATGATTATTCATAGTACAGGCAAAATATGCATTTATATGCACCATCAAACCATGTCCAAAATTTGAGAAATGAAGTAATTCATACATACATCCAAACGAGCATACTTTCTGGTTGCAAGAAAGAAATATGCATTTGCATTAAAATCCGGTTCATAATGATTATATACAGAAAAATTTGCATTGCACTGCTATTTCTCTAGGGACACATTTCAGCAAGGTGATAACACCGCTCTTTTCCAACCCGCCTTTGTTTGAATTTCAGCTCAGTCGGAATGGTGCTATCCCTGCTATACCTGTTACCACCTTAGGAGATTGTATGATGGCCACTGCAAGTTGTCCTCACAGATCAAACTTAGGAAGATCGGTATAGGTATGGGAAACTAGCTGGGTCGGTTTGCGTGAGTCTCAGGGTAGCGATGCCGAAGAAAGCGGTATTCTGGGAGTTGATCCAATTGACGTTTATTCACCTTTTTGTTCTCCAAACCACTGTTAATTTTATGTATCCTTATGCTTTAAGTTACAGCGTTACACGATCTGCAAGCTAGGTCTCGGAGCGTGCAAGGGTCATGTCCGCTCACTTCGGAATATGGTGAAAGTCTCTCTTTTGTGGAATGGCTTGCACACCCCACGCCGGGAATTCGAAAGAATTCGAATTCTCCAGGTGTGGACATATACATGTCATCCCATCTTCCGTAGGGAAGCTTGAACGAGGCAATTCAGTCATACTGGCCCTCATTCACAGGCAACTGTAACAAGTTCTGACCTCTCCTTCTCATTGACCTTCGTTTTAGGCGCGTCCGGTTCCCTGTACCCGAACTAAATTTATGACTGCTCGTAAATGTCAGAACTCCGGACTCCTTGGTCATGCCAGAATCTAGAAATTTCAAAATAAACACCGTATTGCACGTCCCAGACAACGAAATACGGTATTATAGATCACAATAAAGTTCCAGTAATATCGAAACATAAGACTTTTGAAATTAAAATTACCGAGAATTAATTAGAAATAAATTTCATGGTCGTCTATAATCATTCAAATAAATAAGGGTTCTGAATGATCAGCGTTAGTGACCTCCTCAACAAGAACTTAGTGACGTCTAGCAGGTTCACTGTACTGTTTCCATTATGATAATTGTTCTCGTGTTCGAGTACTTACCTCGATGCATCCATTCGTAACCCCAGCACCCCGGACCCACAAAGCAGACAACAACAATTAGGGTAATCATTACCACTGTCGCCCCAATTGCCATGACCAGCACCTTGCCCCATGGACCCAACTGGAACACCATCTAAAAAAAACGCGTCACTATTATGTTCTCTTTTGTGATCATTTACCGAACACTTTTCAACTGCAGAAAATACACAGTGCTGAATGGTAGGGTGACTGTGGCTTATAATTGGGAATGAGGTGGAAGTAAGCCGTTGTGGCCCATCTCATTGATAGGACTGAGACAAATAAGTAAGATACTTGGTTAAGAGAGCAGGTTTCCATTTAAAAACTGAATTGAATGTTCAACAGTCTCCTCTCACCATGGACGTGTTTTATTTTCCTCTATCTACACCTAACTAAAAAAATTCGGTTAATTTATGACGTCATGTTTTAGGACAATTTAAAATATTGTCACGTGTTTAGTTACTATTGACGGGGGTTTGATTAGTAATTGGATTTATTGGTATCTTACAACTCATAACTACAAGTATCTCTAATTCACACATTCTACAATTCGCTATAACACGTAATAAGTCTTCGATATCTTCACTAGTGGTTTCCTGTCAACGGATCCCAACAATGCCTTCTGCTTCCGTGCTTACTTCGTTGATGGCTGGCTACCATCTCGAAACTTGTCTTCAGAGTCGTGACGAAGTGTAGCTGTGTAGGACTGCTCTAGTGAGGTGAACTTACAGAAGATTTTCCTCCCAGAGGATCTCTTGGGAGCTCGTTGTACTCTTCTCCTTTCGCATGGCTGCAGCCTCGGTATGACGCTTGATGAGGCTTCTCTTCTCCTCCTAGGGTGCAACTGCAACAGCTCGGTGTAGATTCTGTACCAGTCTTCCCAGGGCATTTCATATCCAGGTGGCCACCTCCGCACCACAGATATGGAAGGGGTTGCTTACAGTTGGCCCAGACAAGGCCAAAGTTTTGGCAGTTGTAGCACTGCGTGAGGTAAGCCTGGGCTCTTTATAACTCTACCTTGATGATAGTATGGTTAAGGCTATTCGGCTTGACTATCTCTTGAGATTTTACTTTTCTTGATGAGCTAACAAGGAACAGAGAGAGGATTTCTACATGGCTATATCCGTCTGGTGCTCTTCGAGTGACCGCCATTTGACTCACGTTGATGATCTTGAAGCCTAAGTCCTCAATGCTGCTGGAAATATTTTCCGCTGGCAAATCGCTTTGGAGTTGAATGAATTTTGTGGTAAAACTCATCATTACCGGTGGCGAACTATCTGGTTTTCTGGGAGCCCCTTGCTCCGGTAGTACATTATCTGCTTCAGCGGTCTACGTGACCCTAACAGTAGTTCTGAGAGGTGCGAAGATGTTACAAGCTAACACTTCTTTTGGAGGCAGTTTGGCAGTTGCGGATGTTGGGAGTGGTTTAGTCGAATTCTTCGCTGACTGTGAGGTGTCATTAGAGATATGCCCCTCGGGTTCCTTTATTTCCTGGAAGTCGTCATCCTGGGCCGTTGATTCTACTGAGGTTGTGTTCACTGCATCACTTGGGCCTGGTTGTGCACTCACCCTCAAGACGGCTTTCAGTTCATCCAGGGTTACTGCTTTAATGCAATAAAAAGTCCTAAAAAGAGGCTTCCTACCTAGAACTTTTGCAAAAGTTTATTCTTTTTTTCCGCACTGTTCACGATAGAAGTTCACTCAGAGTTTTCCCTCACTTTAGTCGGTGTGCATCTTGCAAGGTTCTCAATGTTACTGAGTACTCTGTACACTGTTCCACTACAGAAATATCCTCTGGGTATTTATTCATGATGGCATTACATTCAGATTTCAGTGATGCTAGTTTGTGTGTCCAGTATTTCTAGAATTCCGGTACTGGAACGTCCGCCATCTTGATGTACACTTGTGTTCATCGCTCCTCTCTTTTTTCTCACTAACTTTCGCTAACTGCAAGAACTCAACTTTCCTTGCCCTCTGCTCAATCGCTATAGCACACGTTGCAACAGTCTGTTACAGGTTTCAGTAGGCGTACAGCTTCTAACTCGTTCTGACTCATCTCTCCACACACATTGGCTCAATTCAACTGGTCTTCAAGTGGCCACTAGCTGGCTATGATTCTCGGCACTGACCGCATAGAAAACACCGCTTCCAACAGTTCTTCTCGTTTTGCGTGCATGTCCGTTGCCACGGAAGCGTGTCTACCGAGCCGTTGTCTAGAAATTACCGCCTCTCCTGGCTTCCAGCCATTATATCACAATATATATATACTCTATCGGAACATTTACAGGGGTATTGCATCGGGACCAAATACTTACATCTGTATCACATTCGCAGTTACTGGCGTGTAATATTTTAAACACCCAAACAGCCTTAAGACCACGCCTTTGGGCCCATCCCACTCCACGCCAGAAAACTCGGTATGTTCTCCCCATCTGAAATGCACCTCTGGTAGCCATGCTATGAAAAGCGAGTTGGCACGTATAAACTGAACTTATATTCCTATGATAATTAAAGTAACACGTAAAATAATACAGCCAATAAGAATACGTGTAGTGTGTAATAAAAATTAATGGTAAGTTATTAATTCTTTCCCATTTGTGACAGGAAACACAGAGAAAAGGAATGAAAATTAATAATTAAAAACGATGCTTTAACAGATTAGACTGCGATACATTTCCTTCTCCAGGTTTCAACTATCTACACCAGAGAAGTTTTATGAGAAAGACAATATTTGTTTAATCCAACGTCCTGTTTCATACTGGTAACGTCAATTATGTTGGTAGAGGTCGTGTAAGGGTTTGTGTGCCTGTGTGTGTGTGTTTGTATGTTGACATGTGTACATATATACACACACATACCCGACCTCTAACATCATAATTCAGTATTTCCTGTTTGAGGCGGAAGTGAGATTAAAGCCACTCTTATATTTACGGGAAAATTTTCTCTGGTGCGGAGAATAGGCTCCACAGCTCCGTCTAATGCTTAGGTTGAGTATGATGGAGCTGTACCTCAATTCCCACTTCCATTTTCATGGCGTGGTTCTTATGAAATTAAGCACAGGGACAATTTTACGTCTATAGGCCTATGTTTATAAAAAGATTGTCCTATTCATGACGTTAATGTGCTTGGAAAGCGGCTTCTAACATTGGTTTACTGGGAGAATGAGACAGTTTACGGCTACACGGCGGTACCATGTAAAGAACATCCCCCTACACAAGTTTAAGAAATCAAACCGCTATGCGCAGCCTAGATGTATCCTATGTAAGTTTTGAGGTTTTCACGGCGATGACAATGAAGAAAGTCGTCTTCTGGGTTTAGGCACCGAAACGTCGGCCAAAACGAAGAATACACGGTGCCTAAACCCAGAAGACGACTTTCTTCATTGTCATCGCCGTGAAAACCTCAAAACTTACATAGGATACATCTAGGCTGCGCATAGCGGTTTGATTTCTTAAACTTGTGTAGGNACCGTTTTCGCTCGCTGGAACAGTGGGATCGTGGGTTCGAATCCCACTCGAGGCATGAGTGTCTGTATGCGTTTATTGTGTTTGTGCGTGTATGTGGCGGCCTCCGCGAAGGGCTGCCCCCCCCCCCTTTTCCAAGGGGTCCTACTGACTGTGTATAGATTAAGAAACTGAAAAAGCGGCCAAGGTCCAAAGGGGCTGTAGAGACATATTTAGATAATACAACAATAATCATTATTTCACGTACTGAACTAGATTGCTGGCTGCGAGAAGGCGAGCGGTACAGTTAATGTCTGAGTCGTGGCCCGTCCTCTAGATGGAAGAAGCTCGTGCATTTGTTAATTCAATTTATGTCACGTGAACTGAGAGGGAAATAAAAATACGTATAAACTGACATTTTTATACAGGACGGGATGTTATCTATGTAGTGTTCCTGGAAGTGACAACGAGCGTTGGGTTTACATACAGAGCCATATGCAACAATTAGGGATGAGGGTGGTTCTTAGTTTGTTTTGCTTGACCTTGCTTGTGTTTGTCAGAACCCCTCTCTATTTAGTAGCACATCGTCAGTTGCACAGATTGTGTAGTGTAGAATGACAGGATGGCCATGTGGAAGGAAACTTTAATTAGTAACATTACTAAGTAAACTCGTTAGTCTCTTAATCATTTATTAACTTTGTCAGTTAATCAGTTAGTTATTTTATATTGGTGCTAAGACAAATGGGGGCATGTGGTAGCGAAGTTGGTTGAGGCACTACGCTACAAGCTGGAAGGTCGCGAGTTTGATTCCCTATGAGGTGATTGGATTTTTCCAGCCGCAATATGGCCCTAGTGTCGGCTCAGCCTCTAATAGCAATGAATACCAGGAATATGACTCGGGGGTTAAAGGGAGGGCGGTGCGTAAGCCTGACAACCTGACCGCCATCTGTGAGCCCGATTGTCTAGCTAGAAGATGTGGCAACCTCGAAGTCTCACAATCCTATGGGCCTCCATGGCCTGTCTCAGGGAATGCTTTACCTTTACCTTTTACTAAGTCAAACATTTCTTCATTTATATACATTGTCGACTAGTAAATTATCAAGTTGATTAGTCATGTTTTGTCAATTAGTCTGTTATTTAATAGGCTACTAAATTATTTAATATTTATCTTGGTTTATTTTAAGATTTTGTCAATTACTTTGGCTTTATAGAGTCGAATGGTAAATTTTTTGAAGAACTGTGAAGTATCTGGAAGGAAACGGTCGTAATCTAATTGAAGTAATATCCCATCGTTTGCCTGGAGGGACTGAGAAAAACGTCAATCATGATATTTGGTGTCCAGGTCCAGATTCGAACCGAGCATTACTACTACATCAACCTGTTCCATATTAATTTCTTAATTAGTAATTTATTAAATTTGATAGACGTTTGAGGGTTTGTTAATTGCCATTTGGATTGTAAGTGATGTTTTCTTCTAATTACGGTCTTGCTGTACGTCAGGTTCTGTACCACTACCGAAACTAGCCCCTGAATTTTGTGCCACGCCTGCGATAAGCTGTAGATGGAATCTGCAGGAAGCAGAACCGCAGCTCTTTGCTTCCTATCTTTTCCCGAAGAGAAAACAACCCGTGTAGGCTTCTGCCCCGAACAGAATTGTGTGACGTTGTTTACTGTCACTTAGTATGAATTTGACTCACTTCGTGACGTAATAAGTTATTTACACTAAGTGAAAGCAAAGGAAGCTTCGTCAACAACACCCACACTGTAACACAGCTGGTTCATTTCTTCACAGCAACAAGTGTGAGCAGATCTATTACATTATGCCGTTTCGTAGGAAAGACTCGATACACGATCTCAGTCACTCATACTCTCTACGGCCTCGGTAGTCAATGTTTTTCCATGGCATGAAACAGATTAGTGAATAATGAATTCGAAAGAATGTGGAGTTAAACAAGTTAAGACACTATCCCGACGTTTTCCTTAAGGGACTGAGGAAAAACATTAATAATCTCAATTAGTATAGCCAAACTGCTTGACCACGACGTTCCGTTGGGTCTGTAAATCATGTTGCAAATCTTAGTGTTATTCTCTTATAAACTAATTAAACTACAGAAACCTAGATCTCCTAAACGTATCAATATGGGACAGTTTACCTGAGCACGTAATAAGTACAAACATATTTGATTATGTATCCATACGCACGTTAGTTTGCTTATATACATATTTATGTACTTCGCAAGAGGAGAGGCAACTTGGGAGACCTAGCAGTTGATGGTAGCTTAATATTATAACGGATCTTACATAAAAAAAGTATGAGACTGTGGAATGATTAGAATAAATAACACTCAGATCCCTTTACCAGTCCATGGTGTTTGGGAAGGTTGAAATGCCTTCACTTAAATCTGTAATTTTAAATAAATATCGAATTCAGAAATTCAAGATTCAAGATTACTAAATTTATAAGAGGAATTAAGCAGTCCAGCGGGCAGAAAATATTTTCTTAAATTCACTCAATTGTCATTTTGCTTATCTGACCGCTCTTCACGTTCTTCTGTTGTTGTAAAGCTGTTAAGCATTACAAATGCGACACTGTATAGAAACATGACCCTTATCCTCGTATTCAGTTATGTAGGTTACATCAACTACAAATTAATTGCAGTTATTTATTTACGAAACACATAAATTAGGACACATACTACTTTTTGTGCAGTAAGTTGGTACTCTGTGATTTTACATTGATCTTGAAATAAATTTATTGCAGAAATAAATGTGTTTTTGCAAATATAACCACACTATGATATTTGTGACACAGCGTAAGATCTCAAATTATATTTCTTGTAGGTCTTCATAGTTCAATATAAACCAAATGCAACATGAGTTTAATGAAAGTTGTAGTAATTTTATTTTCAATACAAAGTCTTCTTACTGTGTACTACTTTTGAAAAATCGGTGTCTTCTCTTTGGGCCTCTATTGCAAATGCATGGAACTAGAATTAATATTTTCCAACTCTAGTATAGAGCCCCGTTATTCACTTTCATCTATGTTTCTTAATAGTTAAGACATGAAATATTACTGGCGATTTTACATTTTATTTTTCCGTTAAACCATTTCTATATAAAATGTTTAAAGTTCTTACCTTGATTTAGGCTAAAATCCGGTAATTTGGGTCATAGAAAGCGAAATGCTGATAGGAACCATTGTATTGTATATGACAGCACACTACACTCTACTGGTTACTTGGCACCAGCTATAATTTTCTGCTGTAACTTCCCTCATTACACTCCCTATCGAGTATGTTGTATACGTCATGTGCTTCCGACATATGGTCGCGAACCGGAAGCAACAATTCATTTTATCCTCTAATCAGTACACTAACATAAACGAACTATCTCTGTCGGTACCAATCACAATGGCCGCTTGGTCTAAAACATGAACTATTTTCGCTTTCTTGAAAGCTGGGATTGTGGGTTCGAATTCCACTTAATGCATGAATGTCTGTGTGTGCGTTTATTCTGATTTTGTCTTGTCCTGTGTGTAAGGGAAGCCTTGCGGCGGGCTGATCGCTCGTCCAAGGAGTTCTACCGTTTCCGTAAAAAAGATTGCGAAACTAAAGAGAAAACCAGGGCCCAACAAAGGGCTCTAGAACCATTGATGAATAAATGAATCTCTATAGGCGGTGAATGTTTACTTAACATCTATCAACCATCCATGGAAATCACACAGTACCACCTTCTACTGAATGTAGAACTCACACACAACACAACCGCTCTACACCTAACACTCCACACACAAACCAAGAAACCACAGGGTACCGGAAACACGGATTATCAGTTAAAGATAAAGATATCCAGGTAATAGGCCATGGAGGCCCATAGGGTTGTGAGAATTCGAGGCTCCCACATTTTCTAGACAATTGGTTTACAGATGACCGAGAGTTTGTCAGCCTCACGCGCTGGCTAACCTTTGCCCCGGGAAGACTCCTAGTACTCATTTCTGTTAGAGGCTGAGTCTACGCCAGGGCCTTTGTGCGGCTGGAAGGTTTAGATCAATTGAAAAATCCAATTACCTCATCGGTATTCGAAACCGCTTGCAGCACAGTGCCTCAAACAACTAAACTGCCGCGTGCCCCCTAACAAGGATTACCAGTTGAAAAATAAAAAAGTTTTAACTAATTTTACCTAATTCAGCAGCAATTGGAACTAGTTTTACCAAAGTTTCAGAAAAATAAACCAAAAAATTAAACACACTGCTACAATTAGGTGAAAGCATTTCCTTTATAATGAAATGCTAAGGTCGAAATATGTCGTAGAAGTAACATTTATAGAAGCAGTGATAACGTGGCACACCAAAATGTCTATGAGTTCGACAATAAGTTACATCTTCAGTGCTGCTCCTGCAAATTAAATCATTTTACATCTTATTTAATGAAAAGTATATAGAAAAAAGAGTGGACAGTGTTCTCCAATTTAGAGGAACATATTTTGTGCATTCTCTGTGAATTTGGATATTTCATTAGACTCTATGCCTATTATTGCAGATAGGACAAGAGCACTGTTGCAAAACACCACAAATATCCAACTGCAGAAACTGTGAATCCATTTTCGCCTGCATTTCATTAAATACCAGTATAAAATCCTCAACAATTGCGAATATCAGCATTCATGACTTTCCGGTTTTATCTTGTTCCCCTGCATGCTTTTTATAAATCCTTGGTATTTTACGTGTACAGATGGAAACAACTGATGTCTTCTGGTGCGAACTCTCCGTTTTGCTGAGCACACGGATGTATTGCATCTTAAACCATTTTTCTAGCTTCAATATTTCGATTGTGGTCGGCCTTTCTGGATTATCACGTATATATGTTATGTACAGAGGCTAATTTGAAGAAAGCAGTCTTCTGGGATTTGGCACCGTGTATATGTGGTGTTAACCGACGTTTCGGAGGAACGTATCGCCTCCATCTTCAGGGTAGAAGAAAAAATATAAGAAATTTGCAAGCGAAGAGACCGTGAGAACCGGTAAAAGCAGACTGTGTCGGAAATATACACAGCTATGAAGATGGAGGCGATACGTTCCTCCGAAACGTCGGTTAACACCACATATACACGGTGCCAAATCCCAGAAGACTGCTGTCTTCATAGTCACCGCCGTGAAAGCCTCAAATCTTACGGAGGCTAATTTAATTATAAATATGTTATCGGTAAGCTAGATATGACGTTTATGAAAAGAGGAATTTTGTTGGATCGATACGAACAAAATTTAAATTACCCAGTACCAAATATCATCTAAATTCATCACATAGTTTTAAGCAAAGTAACGTGCACGGATGGGGAGACATCATGACAGAACTTCTACAGTATTCTAACCAGTTCGTTATTCTGCCATTTAGTTATTTAGCTACCAAGCAGTAATTTTAATAACCACCGAATCTGCTAATTCCTCATCACCGTAATAGAAATATAGAACCTTCGTTAGCATGTAACTGTAGATGGTGCATGTCTGGGTTACGTGAGCGGCAGGTGGCAGTACTTCACTTGTTATACAGGTACTGAGGAGCAAAGTGACTTATGTTACACGTAAAATTTGATTATATGTTTGTAGTTATTCCAGATAACCTATCAGTACTCATAACCGCAACGTCGACGCAAGTTAAGGCTTTCACGTTTGCTGTTCTGAGACAAAACAATGTTGCAATGGAGCGTTGAGTTTCAAATCCCTACCCAACTATTGACTCTCCTACAGAGAAATTTTCATGGGCCGGAATTTTATCTGTGTAGTATTTTTTACGGTGAGATTTAAGGAATTAGTGAACGCTGGATATCGTTTATGAAGCTGTGAAGATCTGGAAGGACAATATCGCCTATTTGAACGCGTTACCAATATTCACATCCAGCGTAAAATTCCGGGAACCCATTGTTATCGACAAGCCATGGAACTGGGTGCTCGGATTGACCACTTAGTCCTGAGTTTTAACTAGGCACGTGTCTGTCTTTAGTTCAATTCACAACTTCACACAAGTTGTGCAGTAAAAAGCATGATGGTGCAGCTTTAACGCTCCACACTTGCATTCTGGAGGTACTCGGTTCAAATCTCGGCCGAACTATTATCATGACAGGCCTTCCCTGATCTTGCTCAGTCTCTCCATATGGATGTTACCGAATTCTCTCTTCCATCAATGTTGCTTATTCCACTTGCACCCTGAAGATAGTTCGAAACTCGGCGGAGATATGTGCCCTCCGGATTCAAGATTTTCGTGACTTTCCTCAGGTCTTTTAGATATATATTGGGATGTCATCTCCCTTCCAATTGTTCATTCACAGTCATCCTGCCATTCGACTTACATGGTCCATAGATTTGCAAAATGTCCGTAAATAAACTGTCTGTCAATTTTGATATATATATCATGACGGCCTCCTTCAAACACTATTCACCATCCAGTCTATTTGGTCAGTAATTTCCAATCAAAACTTTATAGCCTCTGTGTATGAATCAGCATCTTTAGATAAACTAAAAACCAGTCAATAAAAAAAACAACTTTATGTACGTGGATAATTGCGAATGACGAATTGGGAAAGACGTGAAAAAAGTATGACATAATTTAAAGAACCTCTAAATGGGATTAAAAAACTCGTAAACTTGAATAAAAGACAGCCGGAACGAAATATCACTTTTCATTTTTACATATATAAAACTTATGGCGTCACCATCATCACCATATGCAATCATTAAGTTAGGCGGAGAAATATTTCTGTTCTGCATTGCGTAAATAATGATAATTCAGTCCAGTTCTTAATTGCTTACTTGCAAACGTAATAGCCCAAAGTCCAATTAAAAATTGAGCACGCGTACATGAAAAACAAAACACAAAAAAGGCAATAAAAATTATTATTATTATTATTATTTCGAACCGGGGTAGCGCAGTCGGTACAGCGACTGGCTACGGGCTGGACGACCGAGGGGTCGAAGTTCGAGACCCGGTAGGGCCAAGAATTTTCTCTCCTCCATATCGTCCAGACCAGCTCTAGGGTCATGACACCATAGAGCCTAACAAAAGAAGTTCACCGACGTTTCGGACTAAAACACTACTTTCATCTTCAGAGTGAAGAGTAAGCTGAGTGCGCAAATAAGGAAGCAGCTACAGCTGAATCGATGAGTACTACCCGCTGGGTCAATTTGCTCAATTAACGTTGTTTAATCAGTTCGTCATTCCGTGACGTCGTGTCAAGTGCGAGTGATGGTTCCATTTGCCTTAAAAGGGCAGCACGGAAAGCCGTAAGCCCGCACAGTATGTCTCGCGGGCGGTAACTGGAGAAGGAATGGGGCGCTATTTTTAGGTCCATACTCTCTTCTCAAAACTGCCCATATAAATAAGCTGCTCCATGTGCACTTCCTACCGCGCCCTNGACTTGCGGAGAGATCAGTATCCTGTACAAAGCAGTAGCATATTAAACTCACTGTCAGACAATATTGTGGTGACAGTAGTTGGCTCTGTGCCAGCTGCTAAGGTTATGTAGTGTTGATCCAGATAAGTGAAGGTGATGTGAATAATATTTGTAGGGTTGTGTGTTCGTACTAAAAATAAAGCGGTATCCCGACATTTGCCCGGAGTTACTGAGTATAATTCCGAAGAAAGTAGACATCTGTTTTACAGCAGGATTCGAACCGGGAATCTTTCAGACACGAATCAGAAACTTTATCAGAGTGACAACTAACATTTATGTGCTACTACGTAGAAATAAGCCTGCCTAATTTTCGAATCGTGGTCCTACAATTACAGATCTGAAGCGCTGATGAAATGGCTCACTGCAATTGAAGCGCATTCAAGAAGTAGCATTGACATAAATGCTGTCGTTTAGCGAGCCCAACGTTCGAGGCGGTCTTGGATTGAATAGTAACCGTTCGGAGTCCGAATTCGGCAGTAAGAGTACGAGTATGGGAGTTATAGAGAAGCATAATGATAACCAGGATTTTAAGGCAGAAGTAGGGTCGACTCCCGAAATGTCGTGTACGTTAAGTGTGCCTCAGACAATGGACAATATCTAGAATGGGTGTTTTGTGATAAGTTTTCATAAACCTTTAGCGAAAATTTAGACTGAAACTCACTTGTAAACATTAGTTTATCAGGTGAAAGTTCTCCTGTGATTGCGGGCGAGTTATAATTTTCGACACGATTCGCAGGTACGACTGTATTTTTAGTCTTTCGACTAGAACATAACAACGTTATACCCCTTCAAATATCTGGAATTTCTGACTAAATGTTTCTTTCCTAATGAAGATATTTACGTATGATATTTTGTTATGTATCGCCTCCCGCCCCATCCCCTAACCCTTCTGACTAGAATTAAGGGACTCGTTTCAGTGTGTGGACCATCTGTTTGGTAGGATTCCCAGTGACAGCATGATAGTGAAATCGACAGAGAGGAAAGTGACTATCAATTCATAGATCCTGAACCATTATTAGAGCCTGGTATTTCCCGTATTCATAGAACCGTGCGTCAGAGATGAGGACTGGAGAAAACAGAAAAATTTCTCACTATACACAACCAGTCTTTAAGCCGTAAGTATAGGCAAAACCACCTGAGGCCTAACCTTAGAAATGTACGCCCCAAGATATGGATTACTGCTACATATTAATATTTTCCTCCTGTGTCAGTGCGAGGGACGAATCTGAAAGATGTGTCATCACTAATATGGCAATTATTTGTATGCGGTTCGAAGAATTTCATAAAAATACATGCGTACTGGCAAGGCGATTAATTCAGACTGAGCTTTGTATTGGGTACCTACAGTAAAAGTTGCTGAGTAAGAGATTTTACTTTCAGTTGATGCCGGCCGTACAACCACTGCTTTCGATGAAGCTCAAATCGAAGTGTAACGCCTTTCTCGAAAATATTTTATAGCATAAAATTTATGTATATCATGAACAACGGAACCGATTTATGCCTCCTCCTCCTTCTTCTTCTTTTTCTTGGCGTTGTCTTCTTCTGTTTGTCGCCTACTCTTTCTACAGGTATGTGTTATCCCAGTCCTCATATTCCAATCCTCGGTTTTCCACAAGGGATTTTACAAGTGATCTCCTCACGTGGCTCCCTCTTCTTCTTCTTCTTCTTCTTCTTCTTCTTCTTCTTCTTCTTCTCCTCCTCCTCCTCCTCCTCCTCCTCCTCCTCCTTCTCCTTCGTTTTCCTTGTGGTGCCCAGCGACACATTGTAGGCAATTTTTAGGTAATCTTACCATCCTAGCGCTTTATGTTCTGGGTTCCTTATCAATATTGAAGTAACATCCATTCAACTTGCTCTCGTCACCTGAAGACATCGTCATAAATAATGAGATTCGACCGTCCTTATTTTAGTTTCACGTTTAAACTCACATTACTGTGCTTTATAATAATGTAATAGACATAGCAATTATATAACTACAACAGCCGTATGAATCTATATAGTTCAATCAGCACTATACATTTCAGTCGTAAAATTATTGTCGAGGGCACATGTAAACAACCATCAGGAAGCTACTGTAGGTTTTACACCTCACATGACAAAACTGGTTTAAGATAATATGCAATGGCTTTTGTAATTACACATTTCTGAAATAATACATTTCACATTTTAAATTATTCTTAATATTATTGTTATTACGTAACCTATAAAGTGTCATAGAATTTATGTATGGCAGTTGCCTTAAACATTACCTATTTATGATAAACTGCCTTGGCGATTTTATCCATATGTGAGAATTTCGAATGGAGTGCAAATGGGATTAACAAAATTAAGACTCTGGAAATCTTTTGGAAAGCTTTGTGACAATAGGCTACTATCTATAGTAAATGAAGTTTCCGAGTCAATGATGCAAATATACAAAGCAGCAACAAACACGTTTAGAAAATATAAACTAAAAAATTGGAGTGAATATTTCCATACAGTTATATTAGGAAGCGGCTGGGGCCTATTTTGATGTACTGTCCTATCATTTTGTGGAGATGAGGAAGAAAACAGCCTCCTTCAAGACAGGAGGTCACAAGTTCAAAACAGAGACCCTCGAACACGAAGCAGTTGCTCTATTTAACACGCAATAAATTTAAGTGACGTGGTGATGAGATAATGACAAAAATTTTAATTGTGTAATATATCTAGGTTTATAGATAACTTCTTGAGTAGGAGATATTTATCTCATAGATTCCCTCCTACTGTGGAATCTTGATGGTTCTCACTCTTAGTACAAATTCCCCCTCTTTTAATTCAACTGAATTCACATACTCACTATCTCTTTCTTCGGTATATTCTAGTTCTATCACAAAATTCATGGTAATATGCGAAGAACAGAGAAAAGCATTCGCCTTCGGTCTGCAGCAGAAGGATATAAAATGGCTGTTCAGGTTGTGTTTTTCTGGGTTCTGATAACGTATGATATTGTAATGAAGGTAAATATAGATGTTTCGAAGAAATATATTGATTCCATCCTCATGGTTTCATCTACAATGCTGTACGGTGTCACAACTCAGAAGATCACGGCCTGAGTACTCATAATTTAGTTATCATGTCAGTCTGTCCATCGGAATTTCTCCTTCCAGTCTACAAGAGCACTTCTGTAAAATCTGGTATTGTAGGCCTGCATTAGAAGTTACTGGGAGGATTTAATTCTGGCTCATAACGGTCCACTGTAACACCTAAACGTATTTAACACGAACCTCAAATTAATTTCTATCGATGTTCTAAAATGTGGACCTTCGTACAAAACTCGGAACCTTACATTAAGTGGACACTAATACATGTATATCTCATTAAAGGTAAAAGTAAAGGTAAAGTTGTCCCTGTGCTTAACTAATTAAGCACTACGCCATGAAGGCGTATGCAGGAGTGGATGTATAGATCCACATTTTCTTGACTTCGGTACTAGCTCGAGGTGAGTGGTCATCTCCACACCCATGTCGCTTTGCCCCGTGGAAAGAGCGCCCGGTACCCATTGGATAGGAGTCTGGGTGGGCCCCAGAGGCGGTCTGGAAGATATGGAAAAGAGAAAATATATCTCATTAAGCTCAATCAATTTAATTAAAAATATTTGATATATAGAATATTTAATAAAATTCAACAGACATAATTTCTCATAATATGCACTGTGATTAGCCTGTCATCAACAAGTTTTGGTGTGCTACAAATCAAAGAGTGGGCAATAAGAACGCATTTGGAGAATTACTATAGTCCGAAGTGAAGTCTAATTTTTTTTCCTTGGCACTACAGCCCCAGTGGGCCTAGGCCTACCTCCATGAACTTCTCCGTTCACTTCGGTTTTTCTAGATCTCAGACATTCGGTAGGATTCCTTGGGCGGGTGATCAGCTCGTCGCAAGGCCTCTACCTGTACACAAACACAGAAAAACGCACACACACAAACTAAACATCTATTCCCTGAGTGGGATTCGAACCCACGATCCCGGTTTTCAAACGAGCGAAGACAGTACATGCCTTAGACCGCTCGGCTACCGTGACCGGCGAAGTCTTATTTACCTTGTACTATTTATCTAATTCCTTTCTATTTAATGGCCCTAACATTACTGGGTGAAGAGCACCGAAACTGAGTCTCATCATTATGTAATTTTCTCCGTTCCCTCTCCGGTAATCCCTGTGCAGTCCATATATTCTTCCTAGCTCTTCATTCTGAAACCGTCTCCTAGCAAGAGAGTGTCACGTCATACTGACAACGCGGTACCATATGCCGCTTATATTGCAGCAGTCTAAAGATAAGCTCTGCTGTCAAACCACTTGTTGCGTCTGAGCAGCTGTTCTGTCATTACTATGACTGCTGATAGCCTGCGCGGGTAACAAATCCCTTAAGCCGAAACCTTTGGCATTACATTAACACATACAGGCATATAGCCTATGCACAGAACAGCGTTATGAAAATTCGTATAGGCCTGGAGACCAAGTTCTACATACGCTTGGTCCCGGCACCAGTTATTTTAAAGCTCCGGCTACATTTAAACTGGGAGAAAGAACGGCCATTACCCACTGGTCTGGTAAAGTATGAGATGTGCTAAAGAGCAGGAACTCAAAGGAGCTACCAGGAATCGGATTCCAGCCTACCACCCCGTAGTCAGTGACTTCACTGACAGCTGTTACAGAGCGCTGTTGGAACGTAAGAAATAACCATATTTTCTGAACATGGCATAAGTTGAATTATTACTTCATATTGATAACGGGTCTAGAATTAAATACAGAGGGATTAAACGGCGAAATATGAAGCACGCGTGGGTCAGATGGGATATGGGCGAAAACTTCTGGTTGCAAATCTCATGGGACCATCTGGGAGATACAGGTGCAGCCGGGACTATATTGAAATGAACATTATACAAATAAGGTGAGTTGAATTTAACTGACTGAATCTAAGATCAGTATCATAATATTAATTTCCAAGTTTCGTGTATCTCGCCATGAACTGCTATTGGAGAAAATGGTTTTATCTTCTTGTCAATAATGAAAAAAATGGCAATCGTTGGAACTTGCGATATGTGAGCAACACGATATTATCGTTCAATATACATTCTTGAAAATTTTGTTCAGCGTTGGGTCTTGTGGTTCTTTTATGTATTTCCTTGTTTAAGGGCAGTAACAATTGCCGGCACTGTGAAACTTTCTCTGCTATCAATAATAGATAAATCATTGTAGTTTTAATTGTATTGCGTACTAACATGTAATGATCACATATTACTTACTTACTTATGGAGCTGGGCCGCGCCATAGCTCAAGCGGTTAGTCGCTGGATTCCCACCGCGGCGACCCGGGTTCGATCCCGGGTCTGGTCAAGTGGGATTTGTGGTGGACAAAGTGGCGCTGGGGCGGGTTTTCTCCGAGTACTTCGGTTTCCCCTGCCAATCTTCATTCCACCAAATTCTCCATCATCATAATCACCCGGGATCAGACTACAATAGGCCAATCAGTGGCCGCCGTGCCGAGTGGACCCAGTTGAACTCCATCTCCCACTAAGCGAATTAAAAATTACTTATGGAGCTGAGCCCTTCTTGAGGAGAAGCCAAATCTGCAGGTACTCAAGAATTTCCCAGCATTTTATGGAACCCGAAGGTTCATAACCTTGTTCACAAGAGCCCTTCACTGGTCGCCATCCTGAGCCAGATCAGTCCAATCCATACCATGCAATCGTATCTTTCTAAGATCCATTTTAATATTTTTCACCCACCTACGTCTTGGTCTTCCCAGTGGATATAAGCACAAAAAAATATGAAATTGTACAACGTCCCTCGGAAATCTGAAATGCAATATTCCAGCATCGAGTGTTTGTAATACTTGGTTTTCTTGGTTCTCCCTCGCTCTGTTCAGGCAAGTGTGTTAAAGTATTATACGGTCGCTTGCACCCAAAATTCTTAGTTTTCCACTATGCATGATCATCATCCAATTTCATTCGACTCCTCAAAGATGGCGCATCATTGCGTAACCTAAAAGTCAATCTTTCATCATTTAAGTTATGCAATGTGGAATTGGAACTGAATGAATTTATATTTGCTTGTGTTGCGCACTACAGTTTCAATGCGATCCTTTCCTCTACAGGAGAGAGTCTGCATTACTTCACTATGACCCGTTGACCCAAATACCCCGTATACCGGTAGGTGTCTTTGGCTCATGAAGTCTCTTTCACTTTACCGCAGTGTGACGGCTGTTCTCCGGCTGCAGAAGAAACACTCGAGTCTACGTCACTTATATCTGCACGTTTTCGGTAGGAAAATCTTCAGATTCCGTTATATTTTTGGGGGGTGAAAGACATCTGGAGTGACTGCAGTGTTATACTGGATGATTCTGTAAGTACAGCTGTAATCAGTTCACAGAATGTCAGGTTATATTATCAGTAGCTGTGTATTGTGCTTGTATATCTGAGTGTGTATATTCTGTGAAATGTGCAGAAATATTCTTTTACGTTCCACAGCTTGGAATAACTTCTGTGACTACTGATTCGAATAAAGCATTTTAGAGAATATTTTCGTAAGATTCAATGATTCGTGAATTATTTAACAATACTGTATCGTCTACGATAATTTTTGCGCCAAATTGGAGAGAAATAAATTAGAACAAACGACAGTGAAAGCAGTTATGACGCGTTTCAAAAGAACATAACGGGCTTTGGCAGGATTATCTGAGGAAAACATAGAAACCACGCCATATCAATGTCTCCGGCCAATTTCAATCATCCATCCCATATAGATGTCAGGATGTGTTTGCAGGTGAGTGCTTGCAATTTTTTTTTTTTTTCGTGAGAGCCTTAGTTAACAATATCATATCATTTTCTGAGGTCTACAGCTTTGAACGAGTTGTACAGATAAGTATAAATGGTGAATAGTAAGGGATTTGGAAAGAAGCTGTCATGGACTATATGACTATATTCTCAGAGTGGATTAAAATACTTAATTTAATAGAAATTTATTTAGTAGTTTGGGGGATGAACCATGCCAGCGAACATGACATTTCAAACATGCGTTATTTTCGTGCATTTTGGGCTTAGGACGCAGAATAAAATCTCAGTTCTATGACATTTATAGACTAACCCTCAACTAAATGTGTGAGTTTTCATTGCCCAGTCTTTGTCTTGTAAGGGACTTCATCTTGTAAAACAATTTTCAGCAATTGATGGACTTTATGCACTGGGAAACCCATCTAAAATCCATAATTAAACTTGAACTAAAGTACAGATTCACATTTCAGTGTTGACTTCACCATTCTTCCGGAGAAATCGCCTATAGTTTTCTCGAATGCTTATGATATTACTATTATTATTGTTATAGGTCCCTCGCTGTTGACATGTACTTAAAGGAATTTAATTAAGTTATTGTTATGACGTTATGCAGATATTTCGTCGTCTCAGCTCGTCGAAGTGTGTCGGTGCAGATGAAATGCACATTTCTATCATTAAAAGTTGTCTAGAGATTTATGAACCTCCTTAATTTACATATTTAATATTAATTCATTGCAAGGGAAGTTTCCCACTCTGTAGAACAAGAGCCCGTTGGCCCGTTTCAGGTTACGTAGCAGTGTTGTAGTTACTAACTGCAGGTCAATGACAATTTTAAGAAATTTCTCCAACATTTTTGAGGGTATTATAATACATGATCAGCTCTCCTTTTATTTTAAATTTAAACTTCACCCATCTCAGCATTGTTTTATGGAATCAAAGTATAATGCAACAATTTTACTTACTTGTTTAAACTCCTATCACACTTTCTGTCAGTTCATAAGGGCAGGCCAATCCAATTTATTCTGACATTTGATAAAGCCCCAATTTTCTAAACTCAGTAACACTGAACTCTATGATCGTTATATTAATTGGTTCAAGAGTTACTTATCGTCTAGATTTCCTTTCACTCGCAATTCAGGGAAGTCTTCCACACTCTTTCCCATGCTAACAGGAATGCCATAAGGCTTTACATTTTATATATATTTTTCAGTACTTTTATTAATGATTTATATGCCAAAATATCTTTTTCCAAATTTCTAATTTCTGCTGATGATTTCAAAATATTTCGTATCATAAAGTATGCTAAAGATTGCAAATCACTACAACCCAATATAGACTGAGTACATTGAAAATTATTATGTACAAGACGAATATAAGTTCTTTTTAATTACTTTGTGGGTTATCTATTAATCGTACGCACTGAATGCATGAAAAGTCTTGGATTATGTTAGACACAAAACTACATATTTATCATCACGTTGACTGCTTACAAACTCGGGCTCTAAAGATATTAGGACTAATTCAATTAATTTATATATAATTTTTCTTCTTTGAACAGCCTAAGAATTTTATATATTACCTTAATTCTTTAAAAGCTTGAGCATGTATCTGTCGTCTGGAATAACCTTACTTTATCAGATTCTACTAAGCTGGAAAACTTGGAACGTAAGTTTTCAGATGTGTGCTATAGTCGATTTATTCAGTCCGGTTGTGTTTGTAATTATGAGTGAATGTTGAATTATTTAAACTTTAAAACGCTTTATTCCAGGCGACAAAATCTTGTCGTTTATGTCTTATTAGCATTAAAAAAATGTTGATTTCCGTGTACCGACTAAACAAATTAGAGACTCTGCCGCTTTTGAAGTCAGTAATATATCAAGATTTAACCCTTCAAAAAAGTGCGTCACAGCATATCACTGAATGGTTTCAATAAACACAAATTCTCCGTTGAGGATAAATTTTCCTTTGTTTAATCCTACTGAGTTAGGTCATTAGCGTCTTCCCTGTATTGCTTTATTACCTAGCATTAATTTTTAGTGTAGTTCTAGTTCTGGTTCTGGTTCTGGTTCTGGTTCTAGTTCTAGTATTAGTCCAGTTTTTGTTATGTATACCTTCGGTGCTGGCTTGTTATAGGTCACTTGCTGTTGACAAGCACTTAAAGAAAGGAACTGAATTATTATTATTATTATTATTATTATTATATTTGATCTTTCAAATGCTTTTGACCCCGTCCCTCCTAATATGCCCTTGCATAAATGAAGCTCCTTCGGATTCTCTGATGCTTATGTTAGCTGGGTTCGCGTTTCTGGCGCTCTCTCCCCGCCTTTTCATGCAACGTCCGGTGTGCCGCAAGGCTCTGTTCTGGGGCCT